AGGAATCAAACCCGGGTTTGTGCAAGGCAAACACCCTACCCGCTGTGCTATTGCTCCAGCCCATAGCATGAGATAAGGGGAACAATTGGTAGGACAGGAGGGGGATCTGAAGTGGGATGGGGAACATGGTCTAAAATATGATGAGAAACTCTGTTGAAAACCAGCTAGTTGTTTAGTTGTTCCTGAATCTTGAGGTAACTGTGGCTCAAACTTGTGTCAGGACCCACATCCTCTCAGTGTATTATAGAAGTTTCATATTCAGAGGCACAAACAAGCCACAAGACAAAACTATAGATTCTTCTACCCCTGGGGTTTGTCCTTATTATTTGATCTTTCTACACTTCTTTCACCTGACTATCCTGTTCAAACAAACAACCATTTCACTTTATTTTTGCCCAGGTCTTCTAACTATTAATGTAAATGTTTTATTTTTTTAATGAAAAGAATAAAGGGATTTGTGCTAGAGATCACTAAATGTTAAATAATAATACTTTCAATTCTGCTACGGTGTTTCATGTGCCAAAAAATTTAAATATGGACTGGAAAGATAGTACAGGAGATAAGGCACTTGTTATGTCTGTGACTTCGGCAGGCTAGAACCCGGGCTTGAATTCTCAGGACCATGTATTGTTCCCTGAGCACCACCAGGAGTCACTTCTAAGCACCAAACCCAGAGTAGCCCCTGAGCACTGCTGAGTGAGGCCCACCTCCCAAAAAGTAAAATAAAAGTAACTTAAGAACTCAATAGTGAGATCTCACAATACTTAATAATTCATTATATTTTCCTGTCAAAATAATTCCAGCTACTGAAAAAATAACTGTTACGTTACATTTGTGCTGCTATTTAAAAAATAAATCATCTTTTTTAGTTAATGTAACATTTCCCTCTCCAATGGAAAGTATTAAAATTGGAAAACGAGAACATTTATATAAACAGTAGAGTCTATTGATCACTTGATCACTTGACATCGCATTATTAATCAGTTTGCTCGAGCAGGCGCCAGTAATGTCTCCATTCATCCCTGCCACATGCTAGTGTAGTCCAATGGCATCTGCTCGCTCCAGGAACACAAAAAGTCTCAAACCATTCATTTGGGGTCTTGACGAAGAAGTCTGACCATCATGTAGGTGGGCGGCCACGCGATCTTTCAACGTCCTGTGGAATTCAGTTGGTAACAGCTCTAGTCCAGTGGTCGTCTCCAAATCTCATTATGTGTCCAGCCCATCTGATTTTTGATGCCTTGGCAAACAAGACAGCGTCCCTAATTCTCAATTGTCAAGAGTCTATTGATAAAGTCTATTGATAAACCACCTTTTATTGTACTTCATTCAGAAAAAAAAAATTTAATAAAGCCCCTCAACCAGCAAAAAAATTTACAACTCTCCAAGACTCAGATAATGGTGAAGTTTCATTAATCATTTGTTTGTCTTGGTTTTGGGACCACACCCAGTAGTGCTCAGAGCTTACTCTTGGTTCCGTGCTCAGGGATCACTCCTGGCAGGCTCGGGGGACTGTATCAGCTGCTGGGGATCGAACTTGGGTCAGCTGTGTGCAGAGCAAACACTCTACCCACTATCCTATCACTCTGGCCCCTCATCTGGGTTTTTAATGACTGTCTGCACTTCATGTTAAACATAGAATTATTGCATTCTTAATAGGTATAGTGTAAATACACAGGTACTGTGTAAACACAGCTTTTATATACATGGAGAAACTGAGAATTTGTGTAGCTCACTTTACTCTGATTCACTTTCTTGTGTTGTTGGGAACTACACCTGCAGTATCTCCAAGATGTCCCTGTGTAAGGTACAGTTTCACCTTATCATAATGTGTCCTGAATTAGATCAGTTATTTGAACTCTATCAGTATCTTCATTTTGTGCTATAATTAAATAGAGAGCTTGAGAAAAATTCCTGTGTATTTATTACTTTGGACTTAACGGTGGCCTCTTTATCCGTGACACAGAATCAATAATTAAACAAATACCCTTCGAACACATCCATTTCTGTAGAATGTTTGAAGGATATTAGTTTTGCCGAGATATGTTTGATTTTCCCCACCACATCCCCCATATTTCTTGGTCTAGCTAAATCACAGGAAGTCAATCTGGGTCAGTGGTTTCTGACAAATCTTCCATAACCATCTTGGAGTGTATCATTCAGCCTGTTTCTCTATAGTCTGAAGGAGGACTCAGGAATCTGGGGACAGTCCATGGAATATGAGTGGGGTCAGTCATTAGCACCTTAGACCCCCAACCTTAGTATGAACAGTGGATGCGCAAAGAATCTAGAACACGAAATGTCTTTGTAAAGTGGCTCTAAGAAAACCTAGTTTTTATCATAAAAAGGTTTGTGTAAGCTTGAGTCCATGACTAGACAAACAGCCCTGGCACGTGGTGCCCTTGTACTTGCTCAACTGTGGGTCTGGGCAAGGAAACCAGATATCAGTGTTGGTTTGCTTCTTGAAGGGTTTTGCAAACATGTCCTCTGAGGATATGTTCCTCAAGCATTCCCCTTGGGCTGTTTATTTCCCCCACTTCCTCCTTTCAGTGCGTCCTACAAGTTCCAACAGGATTAGTATTCAGTGAGTAAGAAAAATAATTGCTTCACCTGCAGAATTTAAGTTCTGCACACATCCCGAATGACAATAAATTAATAAAGCAGTGGTTGCTTTAATGGGCGCTCTTGATTCCTTCTGACATTCCTCCTTTCAAAGGCCCCGCCTTAAGCATTCTCTCTGCTTAACCTTTAGCACAGAGATCTGGCTATGCCTCACTAGGCCAAGTTCAAAAACATGAAGAATGCTCACCATGTTTTCGCTGTTGCCTGAATCTGCCACATTTTCAACCTTTGATGCAGTTGAAATTGTCAAAATGTGAAATTATTGAGAATCAGCATTTGAGATGTGTGTTAATTTTGTAGAGTTCCTCTTCTTCTCCTCCCCCTTCCACTGCCTCCTCCCCCTCCTCCTCCTCTTCTTCCTCCCACCGCTCCTCCTCTACAACTCCTCTTCTTCTTCCCACTCCTCCTCCTCTTCCCCCTCTTTCCCCTCCTCCTCCCCTTTCTTCCCCCCCCCTTCCTCCTCCTTCTTTCTCCAGACCCAGCTGTGCTCAAAGCTTATTTCTGGTTTTGTGCTCAGTGATAATTCCTGGAGCGGCTCAGGGTACCATCTGGGGTGCTGGATATAGCAAGGCGAGTGCCTTAGCTGCTGTACTGTCTCTTCTACCCCTCATAGAGCCTTTTTTTTTTGCAATTTTTATAATTTTATTTTCATAAAGTAGTTCACAATAGTTCGTTACAGTTAATATTCAAACACCCACTCAAGCAGCAAGCATCTCCCCACCACATTAAGAGGCAAGTGTGTAAAGGTTGTTGATTTCATTCTGGGGCCCTTTAAGCCCATATATAAGAGAATATAAGCAAGTATGTTAAAGCCAAACACATGTGTGCTACTTTAGGTACATCAGTGGGCTAACGTATAAGAGGTCTAGCGCAAATGTGGCCGCACACTCCAGGAAAAATTGCGTCGCTCTCTTCAGGGAGCTTTGTTTTATAGTCTCTGGATCTTGGCCGTTGATGAGATTACATGGTGCGGGGGGGGGGGGGGGGCAGTTTGTGGGTGTGACTTCCAAGCTGCTGGAAAACTGGGGATCCGGGTTGAGGAGGCCCAGTCCCCATTCGGGCAGGCTTAGAGATCTCAGCCCCGGGTCATGTATACCTGGGTTCCTCTGTCGGTTCCTTCCTGACTGAGGCTTATCTGAGCGTGTAGTTTGTTGGCATTGAGCATGGCTGTGGCTGGGTTCTGGAGGTTTTCAACTATCTGGGCTCTGCTTGGGGCGGGGGATTCAACCCACCACCCTCTGAGGGCGCCCCAGTGAAGACAGCCTGGTGTGGTGACATAAGATTTTGCCTCATTGAGCTTTTAAAATCTTATTTCCTCAAGAGTCACTCCAAGTTACAGAACAGGAGGAGCTAAATTTTTGTTCTGGCTAGGTACTTCTCCAGTACTTCAACAATAAATAGAAAAATGTCAAAAATTTCTGATAGAATACATGGAAAAGATAAAGTCAGGTAGGTCAGGATATCTCAGGACTAAATTTAAGGTTTAGAGAACCCATTGCTTCATGTTTTTTTCAACTTTAGAAGAAATTTGCTTTTCTGTTTTGAAAATATGATGTCAAGATTTCAGGTAGTGGGGGCCAGAGAGATAATATGACAAATAGGGTGTTGCCTTGCATGGATTTGACCCAGGTTCAATATCTGGCATCTCACATAGTCCCAAAAGCACTGCAAGGAGTAATTCCTGAGCACAGAGCATGGAGTAACCCTGAGCATCACCATAGGTGTCCCAAAAACAAAGGGAAGGAAGGAAGGGAGGGAAGGAGGGAGGGAGGAAGAGAGAGAGAAAGAGGAAAGGAGGGGGAGGGAGGGAGGAAATAAGGAGGAAGGAAGGAAGGAAGGAAGGAAGGAAGGAAGGAAGGAAGGAAGGAAGGAAGGAAGGTTGATTTCATGTAGTAGATATGACTCTGACATTTGTTTGAAATATTAAAACTGTAGTTACTTAATGGAGTTTCTTTTTTAAAAAAATACCATATTATTTATCTTCCAGTACGCAGGTGTTACACCCACCAACTGCCCCCAGCGCCGTGTAATCCCATCAACGGCCAAGACCCAGAGACTATAAAACTCAGCTCCCGGACATCTTATTATCTGATTTTTACTCTGGAGAACCTGGCAGGCTACCGAAAGTATCCTGCCCTCCTGCCCGCACGGCAGAGTCTGGCAAACTCCCCGTGGCATATTCAATACGCCAAAACCCAGTAACAATGATGGGTCTCATTCTCCTGACCCTGAAAAAGCCTCGAATGTGGCACTTTCTAAAATCTCAGGGCTAGGACAAAGAGAAGTTACTGGTGCCTGCTGGAGGAAATCGATGAACAGTCTGACAGTGATACAGTGTTACCATATTATTTAACATATGTGCTCTTGTTTCGTTTTAGGTCAGTCTCGATTCCCGGGTTAGAGAGGTGATCAACCGAAATCTGCTGGACCCGAATCCACACATGTATGAAGATGCCCAACTTCAGATCTATACCTTAATGCACAGAGATTCTTTCCCAAGGTTCTTGAACTCTCAAATTTACAAGTCATTTGTTGAAAGTACTGCCAGCTCTACTTCTGAATCTTAATTTTCGTTAAGAGAAGTCATTTCAAAGGACTGGGATGGGAAATCAAAGTTTAGCTGAGTAGCATCAAAAACTTGAGTTCCTGGAGAACTACGGTTTAGCATTCCTCCTCAGGCTACTGTGAAAATCCAACCCCATGGTCATTGTCTCCATTTCTATCAAGGCTATCCATGGTTAAATTTGGAGAAAATACCACATGACAGTGAATTGCCAAATGAAGTTTGTTTTACTCAACATTCATTCTACTTGCAAGCAAACTGTATTTGTAGTTCTATGAACAGTCTCCTAGTATTACTTCAAGAGACTGCATGTGCAAAGTTCAACTGCTTCTTTTGCCACGTAGTTGTTGTAATATTTACTCCAATGGTATATCTTATATCTGTATTTAAGGACTTTCGTGCGATATGGTCTTATAGAAATAATTGCCAAAAATGGCTGTTGTTTGCATTTTTAAAAAATATAACCTAAAAAGCCAACTTTTAATTTATAATCATGGTATTCAACATGCTCTCTACTGCGTTCGTTACACTAATTTTGAAGCCAATATTTATGTACATGGGAAAAAAAAGAGCTATTTATCTGTTTGTTTCCACTGTTTGTTGGAAAATCCAATGGGGAATTCCTCTGGTTGTTCACTGCCAAAACTGTGGCATTTTCGTTACAGAAGAGTTTGCTACGTTAAAACAAAATAAGAAGAAAAAAAGCACAAAACCATTTGAAGATAAACTATCTCAATGACAAATCAAAGAATGATATTGTTTTTAATTGTAACAGAAGCAAATGAATCTATGTATATATCAGATGTCTTATACTGCAATTAATTTATTAAAGACTGGCTCTCCAGTTTTGAAATGGTTGTGTAAAGTATCTACTTCAGCAAGGACAAAAACAACTTAGTTTGGGAATATAAACAAAGGACTTAATATAGGAATGCCTACATGTAGCATTATAAAAATATTTTGATGACTGGCATCTGTGCCATGGCATATTTTTCTTGAAGGTGAAATCCAGTGAAAAGTTAAGTGTTGAACAAAATAAGATTTATAAGGCTTAAGAAGATAATTCGCTACTTTGAATATTGACTGTTTTCACATAGTATCTAATGAATGACTTATTTTTAAAACCTCAAAAACCAAAATCTTAATTCTCATCCATAATTTAAAGGCAGTACAGTGCTCAAATCTTCCAACTGCCATTTTACTTTTCCTAAGTACCACTCAAACTTTAAGACACAATATTTGTCTGGCATTGGCAGGTTCCTTTTGATTCAATGAAACAAAACCCTAGAGTGTGCACACACAATTGTCGGTGTCATATTTCTATCAAGGTGTTACATTTGAATATTAATATCCCTTTGAGGCTATTTTTTTAATCTTAAATATTGAATAATCTAAAATGAAAAAACTAAAAATATTTATATCCACTGAGAATACTGGCCTTATATTAAGGATGATATTAAAATTATTTGTTTTGTCATTTTTAACTACCTCTCATTTTTTTAATTTATTAAACATTTTTAACAAAAACAAGTTTGGGATTTTCTTTTGAAATTTTGTTTTCCTTAAAAGGTTGGCATCGTATGGTTTTTATTTTCCATAAACTCAAAACATTTCAAGAATTGTTTTTTAAGTGAATTTGATTTTCTAACTTGTATAGAATTCAGGAGATACGACTTTAAGGGCTATTATCTATTCCCTATGCAAATATTTTAACTGTTTTAGTGTTTGACAAAATGGGATTTTAAAAAAGTCTGCAGAGTAGAAAACAAAATGTTCTGTTTACACTGGCGTTGCTGACTATCATACTCAGCACTTTTAAATACATTATTTATGAAAATGTAGTGAAAATACAAGATAGAAAATATTTATAATAATAATTACTTTTCATAAATGCCTGTTTTTGTCTGAAAGTGTTAGTATGTTAAGTTATGCTTTACCCACGTCAATTAGATATTTACTATTTGAATCATAATTTTTAGTAATATGTTGAAAACAAGATAGCTATGAAGATGTTTACAAAGGTCATATTTTTTTCCTAGAGTGAAAAAAAAAACCTAGAAGAATCATCACTTCTATTGTGAAGTTCCATTCCTGAATATTTACTTTATAATCGAATTTATTATGCTTCTATGATATATACACATATATGTTGTGATATCATACTTGTTGCTGTGTTGGAGGCACAATAAGTTGGTGCACAATGACTAGAAATAAGTAATCTACCAGGATTCAGAGCATGCATCAGTCTTTTAAAAATGTTGACTTTATATTCTTGTTGTTACTATATACAATGGTGACCTGCTAGCTTGTAAGTTATCTTTATAAGATACTGTGAACTAATAGATAAATTGTCTGTTTGACAATATCTTTATACTTTACCAAATGTAAAAAAGGCCTGTGTAAAGGAGTTCTAATCTCTAATGGGCATTTATAGAATACGGATTTTGAAGTTAGTATATCCTTCTGAAACTTGATTAGGTTATATTGAGAACGATGATAGAGCAGATTTACACATCAGAAGTTGGGAACGAGTTATGTGAGCACTTGAGTGTGAGATTCTTACTTTGAGGCAAGGCAAGGGTTTCAAGTTTCTAAGAGTATGTCTGCATATTTGCAACTCTGTGTTTTAAAGTTATGGTATAATTCTTTGTTTAAAATTGTAGAGCTACATTGACAAAACAAAACAAAAAAAGCTCTCCACTGGTGTCTAAGCTATCATTCCAAGAGCACAATACTTGTTTTGATAGAATTTGATTTTTCCTAGTGAGTGAATTCCTCCCTAGGGAAAAAAATTAGCACTTTAGAAGGAACACTTTGTGTTTTAGAATGCCAAGCAAACTTTGTATACTGTTAGAATCAAATAATGCACACAGAAAGAGATTAATGCTCTTTCTGTTGTGCCTAACCTCAAATGTGTCTATACTGGAAAAAAATTAAGTGTGTAGATTATGTATAAACTAATAAGCATCTATAAATAATTTGGAGAGCCAGCCTTTCTTTAGAGATGAGTGTTGTACATAGAGCATATGAATAATGGCTTGATGATACTTATTCACTCTGAATAATAAATTGTAATTATGGTACCCAAAGGGAATATAGATACCCTGAGTGTGAAAGTGTAGCTCTAAGCACAGGTGCCCTGGCATAAGATTAATAATGGCAAAACACGATTTTGATATTAATGTTATGAAGTACAAAAATCAAGACAATAATGTGGCCTTTTAAAAATAAATCTTAAAATATGTATATAGGATGACCAGTTCTGTTTTTTGGTCATGGTGCATAGGATATTTATTAGAATCCTTTAATGCTGCTTGGATTCTTACAGAAAGAAGTGTGTATCATATGCTTACCTGATAGTTTAGCTTTGAAAAAAGGACTATATAGGAAATAATGTTTATTAGGGTCAAATGTAAAGTTTAACCCCACTAAACTTTTTAAATACATGATTCTTAATTATTGAATGGTTTGTTTTTCTGTATACCTTTAATTTACATGAAAAAATTAAGCCATTGTAACTATGACAAATTAAATTTGAAAAAAAAACACTGTTTCAGATCCTTTAAGGAAGAAATATAGAGTGAGGAAATTTAAAATATGAGAAACTATGAAAGTAAGAACTCTTTGAAAGCTAAAATTTCTTAGCTCTAAAATGCCCACAATTCGATCCCTCTCAATACTTTGGAAAACTGTTTTTGAAAAGATATAACGATGTATCTGCAAAATATGTATTGCTTGTGCATTGACAGTGTATGAATCTAAGTTTCAAAGTATATTTTAAAATGTTTCTTACGTTTTTAAAATCAGTTATGACTGCAAATATTTATCCATGAAACTGACACCAAAAACTTGTTTCCAATCTTGCCTGAACACTCTTGAGTATCTTTCTAATACACAATACTGCACAGATTGATAAGTATTGTTTCCAATTACCAGGATTTGTTTATAAATTTGATTTCAGGTTACGTATTTCCTGACTTTGGACAATTAATTTATCCTATGTGAGCTGATTTCCTCATCTTTCAATAAGAAATATTATAATTAATTTACAAGATAAATCATCGAACATGGAAAAACTAAAGTGCTACATCTCATACTCTTTAAATTCTCCAGCTCAATCGTTTCCTTTTTTTTTTTTAAAGAATTGAAACGCTATCTAATGCACTTTCCCTCCCCCCATTTTTGTTTTTTGGGGTCACACCTGGAAGTGCTCAGTACTTACCTACTGTCTCTGTGCTCAGGGATCACTCCTGGCGGGTTTGGGGGACCGTAAGGGGTGCCAGGGATCGAAGCTGGGTTGGCAAACACTTTACTAACCAAATGTACTATTCCTCCATCCTGACCCCCACCCCATTTTTTAAACCATATTTTAAAATCCTATTTAATCGTTCATCAAAAACACAACCAATGCGATTTTAAGAAGGACTGTATCTTTTGTTGAATGATGTGATTCAATGTGATTATTTTCAGCTCACTAACATATTTGGTCTACAGTGAAGAGTTTTTCTTTCAATAATACGCAAATATATAAATGACAGTATGCGTGCACTACTGTAGATTAAAATCAAAGCCTAAACAATCAAGCTTAAATATAAAATTTGAAAATATATTATCATAGGAAATTAAATTCTCAATAACTAGCTTATTGATTTACAAAATAACCATGTAGGAGCGGCAGGCTAGAGGTACTACTAAGTTATAAAAAGATTGGTTATTAGATAATATTGATGTTGGTACAAATAGCTTTCTTTTTAAATATTGGAATAGTATAATTTTAATCAGTTGCCATGAAAATGAAGAAAAGTCGATTATACATCCACAGAGTTTTTTGTTTTACATTTTAGACTAGTTTTTAAATTACAGGAAAATGTGGCAGAGATTTTTCAAGGGACAAAATGCAGAGGTTGCAAATACTGCAATTCTTAAGACATGTATCACAGAGAATGCAGTGATGCTGATGTCCACGCTTCATTTAAACTCCCTTAACTTGATTTAATATCCCTTGCCAGTTCCAACAGTACTTTCAAAATTTCATGTTAGCATTCAGTCTTCTCCTCTCCTTAGGGTCCTCTTAGCTGCAACAACTTTCTAAAATTTTTGTTTTTGATGGTTCCGATGGTTTTAAGGAAGGCTGATCCAGTAGACATACAATTTCTCTGATGTTTTTCCTATCATGAATTGCTGTCAGTCTTGGAAAGGAACTCCGGAGAGGTCAAGTTTCACCTGCAGCTCTGGACGGTGCCCCATCATGATTTCTCACTGTTGATGTTGAGCTCAATCACACGACTAAGTTACCATTTGTTAGTTTTCTCCATTGTAACTAAGACATTTTGACCAGCTACAGGGCAGGTAAAGTTACTGAACAAAACAATTCTGAGCAGATTCCTCAGTACTCCTATTAGGTTGCATTGATGGTTACTAGCAACTGACTATAAAGAAATGCAGTAAACTAAAAAGTGAAATGGGAAAATAATGGTCAAAAATGGTGTTCCCTAAATTAAATGACATGAAAGTGAATTTCTTTCCCTGGGGGAACTTATAAAATTATCTTTGTCCTGTATATCCTTTGGGCAGTAAGGGAACTTACATAGATAATTACTCTGTTGCGTGCTTTTCTTCATTGCCTTCTGCTTAACAATGAACACAGAACATTGAAGTAACGTAAAAGACTTGATTTATCTTCCCTGCTTTGTTCTTTGATATATATGTTTCTTATGTGTGGTTTTTACATGTTTGCTAATTTTCGAAAGAACATCAATGTGTTTCTGTAAATTTTATCTTACTGAACAAGTATACTTTTCAAATTACGTTGGTCATTTTACCTAATCTATATCCACATTTTGGAATCCACCAATATTTAGTAGTGGACCCTGAAGACGTTTTGAAAGCATGAATACAATTTAAGAGTCACTATGCTTACTTTGTGATGCAAGTGTAATTGTAGGTTCTTATAAATTGGATAATCCAGATTATTATTCCTCTAAATTGTTTTGGGTTTTTATTTCCCCTTCCTGAAATCTAGTTTACATTTTACATATGTACAATAAGATTTCCTAAAAGTGCTAGAATTTTTGACATGTAATAAAATTTGAGCATGATGGTATTGTAACTAAATTAGAAGTCTCAAGTATATTTGAGTTTTCGAAGTAAATCAAATTACAACTGTTTCTTCTTACTATATTGTGGAAACCTCTGAATATTATTGTAAAATAATATTGTAAAATTCACATGCATTGCAGTGACTTGAAAATGTTTTGAATTAATAAAGAATTCACCAATATATCCTTAGACAAGTTACTGTTTCCTCATTGGTGTAGCTTCACAGGAGTAAGAGGTCATTACAATGCTTCTGCATCAGAGGGAAAATAATTTTTGGCTAGATTCTTCACATCTTTTGTCTAACGTCACTGTTGTTTTGCACCTTGATTATGACTTGTTTTAAGACCTATGAAGAATTCAAACAGAGAGGCTTATAATGTCGAATGCAAATTACTGGCGCTAATTCTAAGGTTTCAAAAAAACCCTTGAGGGCAGGGATGAGAATAGGACCTTGGGTCAAAGGACTGTGGCACAAGCATCACTCCAAGTGCCATCCAGTAATATCATGGTACCCCAAGTACCCAGGTAAGCCTGGAAACCCACAGGAGTAATCCCACCTACCCTTCAATTAAAAATTGAGTTTAGACGTTGGAAATAATTGTTTCAAGTAGAGATTTTAAAAAACATCCTGTCAATCCTGCCCTATATTGGGACCTAGGCAGAACAATTTTATGAAGTGTATACAAACGCCGAAATGGAACAAAAAGCAGATGTCATTGGTGAGAACTTGTAAGCAGCAAAGCCTAATCTTGCTTTTCCTATTTGGAAAGCATCTCCTCCCACGAACCTTGCGTTGAATGCAAATTACTTTTTTTGTATGAAGTAATGAATAGGGGTTTGCTTTCTAAGAGTTTTATACTTAGATGAAAACTTTTGATTGATTAAGGATGACGTAAGTTTTCAAGGTCCCCATATTTTGTTTGCCAGGAATCGCCTCACATAGATGCAAGCAAGTGCCCTAGTGCCAAGATAAATCTACACACACACACACACGAAACAATTTTTAAGTGTAGCTGACAGTTCATGAGAATTGCAATTGGCCAGGCAGAAGACTCAGGAGGACTTTTTAAATTTTTCATTTTTTTCGAAAATCACTTCGTGGTTGCCTTCAAGTACATTTCTCACGTTCTTTTTTGATACAAGCCTTATGCGCTGTCAGAAAGAGAATTATGAGCCGGGGGGGGGGGGGGGGGTTGGGGGAGGAAGAGGTGTTAAATGCACAGACACACAATGATGGACCAGCCCTTGCAATTGCTCTTGGAGAACGTCCAGGTAGGTCGTGGAGAGGACTTCGGTTTCAGCGGGCTCCGCCCTCATCCGAGGCAAGGCATCGGATGCTCTTCATCGCAGTGCATGAACTCGTCGCCCCTGTTGCTTCCCAAACCAATCCTCGAAGTTCAATAAAGCAACCCACGGAGTAGGCTGTTCCGATCCCGCGTGGAAAAAGGTGCCTAGGAAGACCCCCTGGACTCGCCAGCCTCTCACCTGCCGCCCCGCCCACCCACTTCCGCCTCGGTGACAAACGTGGCGTCTCAATGCCTGGCCGGAAGTTACCGCCTAGAGGCGGGATCCGGGAGGCCCTTTAAAAAAAAAGAATCCAGCGCGTGCGCGGGGGCGGGGCTCCGTCCGCTGTCCCAGTTTCCCAGCTCTGCGCGATGTCGCGAGAACGCGAGGTCGCGAGAACACGCTGTCCCCGGAACTTCCGGCTCGGGGCGGCTTCCGGGCAGAGCGGCGGCCGTGAGGATGCGCGCCCGGCTTCTGCTGAGCGCCGCCCGCTGTCTTTGGGCCCGGCGACCCCCCGGCCCGGCCCGCCGGCACCGGAGCAGCGGCAGCCCGCAGCTGGAGGAGCTGTTCGCGCGCGGCGGGCCCCTGCGGGCTTTCCTGGAGCGCCAGGCCGGGGAGGCCGAGCTGGGAGCCGCGGCCCAGATGCTGCGGGACAAGGAGCAGGAGCTGCGGGAGACCGAGCCCTTGCTGCAGGGTAAGGGCCAGAGCCGGGCCCGGGGCAGCCGGGGGTCCAGGGCGAGGCGTACGTAAGCTTTGCCTGAGCTCTGGCAGCTCACTCGCGCTCCAATCCGTGCCCCTCCCCCCCCAAAAAAAGGGGCAGCGTGATTGGCACAAAGACACCCTCGGCGGCAGTGACGCGGTGTGCAGGCGCAGAATCGGAGACCTAGCTGGAAGCGTTTTTGTTTTGTTTTGTATTGTTTTGTTTTTCAGCTCGTTGGCCCAAGAGGTTCGGGCGCCTTGGAATTGGGGACCTGCATTTCCCCCCCACACACACCTTCCATCCCGCCCCGCCCCCCCGGGGCCAGCCAAGCTGCAGTTGATGCATGGGGCACCCTTTGGATCCCAAGGCCCTGGAGAGGTCACAGCTGCTGAGAAGGGAAAAGCGTTGTTCTTTTTTTATTTACTATTATTATTTTTGCTTTTGGGGTCACACCCGGCGATGATCAGGGTTTACTCCTGGCCCATGCGCTCCGGAATTACTTCCTGGCGGTGCTCGGGGGACCAGATGGGATGCTGGGAATCGAACCCGGGTCGGCCTGCCCGCTGTGAAGCGGTGTCTTAAGAGAACAAGGCATACTCTGGGGGGCGGGGAGGCCTTGACAGACAAGGAGATGTGGGTGGATACCGTTGGCCTCGTGCCACGGAAGCACCTGCATCATCCCGTGCAGAATTATGTGGGTTCCAGGGCTTGCCAAGGGAGGGAGTTTGGATTGCACTGACATCACACCCCGTGCGGGAGGCATATTTTCTAAGAAGAGATTGAGGGGAAAGGGGCGATAAAAAGAATCAAATCTAAAATTCTTTTTTGTCCTGCAGGCAGAAAAGAAGCTTTATAGACGGGGGAGGAATGACTGGGATTAGTTTTCTGGGAAAACTTTGTTTGCGGGCGTTTGAGAAGGCAGTTCTCAGTGAGAGGACTGTAGAAAGCGGTAGGCGAGGGGTGACGGGTCTTTTGTGATTTAAGAGGAAAGGAGGGCCAGAGAGATAGTACAGTGGGGAGTTGTACTCTTATCCCAGGGGCCTTTGATTCCCAGCACCACATATGCCCCCCACCCACCCTAGCACTGCCGGGAGGGACCCCTGTGCATCCTTAAGTGTGGCCCAAAAATCTAAAGAAAAAAAAAAATAATACAGGTGCTTTTTTATGACCTGGCAGTCTAGTGGGGAATAGAGATTTTGGGCAAGCAAAAATACAAGTAGGTGGATTATTCGGTTTTAATTTCTTCCCTGAAGAGTAGAGTGTATTATAAAACCAAGCCTGGCATTTAAATGACCTTGAGGGCTATCAGGAGAAGGGCATTGAAGCCAGAGAAGTGACCCAGCAGATAAAAAGTAAACAGTGGGGAGAGAAAATAAGGACCAAAGGCAGAGAAGGTGTGGGATTTTAATGTGTACCAGAAACTTGAAATCAGAAAGACAGTTAAAAACTTGAGAGGGAGTACATGAATTTGTTTCTGTAGACCATGAGAAGTTAGTCCATTCTTTAAAACAAAATGGTCAACTTCTTAAAAAGAGATAATAATGTGGCATCCACGTTGGGGTAGGGTTAAAGGTAATGGGAGTATTTTCCAAAGACCTGGCTGAAAGGCTGGTGAGGAGGGAAACAGTTGATGAAGCAGTGTTGACAAGGGTGTGACACGGGTCATCCCAATAACTGTAGTTAGAATCTGGCGGCTGTCACTGAAAGGGTGGAAAAACATGTTTCTAAAAACAGTCAAGCTGCAGTCTTCAAGGCATGAGTGGTAGAGTGCATTGTAGCACCGTAGCACTGTCCTCCCGTTGTTCATCGATTTGCTTGAGCGGGCCCAGTAATGTCTCCAGTGTGAGACTTGTTTTTACTGTGTCTGACATATCGAATACATCACGGGTAGCTTGCCAGGCTTTGCGAGATACTCTTGGTAGCCTGCTGGGCTCTCTGAGAGGGGCAGAGGAATCGAACCAGGATTGGCCCGGGTTGGCTGCGTGCAAGGCAAGCGCCCTACCCACTGTGCTATTGCTCCAGCCCAAGTGGTAGAGTGAAGAATATAAATGTTCCATCAGATTTCGGGCCAGAGTGACAGTACAGCGGGTAATGTGCTTGTTTTGCATATGGTAGACCCAAGTTCCATCCCTGGCACCATATATGATTCCCCCAAGCACTTCCAGGTATGGCCCCCAAAACAGAAATCCACCACCACCAAAATTTTTCGTCAAATTTAGAGGGAAAAAGACGAGTGCTACATTTAATAGCGATATTGAACTAGTAGTACCTATAAGGAAGATATTTAGATAAATTGTGTAGAGGAGAGGGTTGGAGAGTGACTGGCCTAGAGGTAAAATGGAAGCTGAATAATCATCAGAATTCTGAATGCAATTGGTAGATTAAGTCCTGGAGGTAGAGGAGACTACTCAGGAAGACAGTAGAAATAAATATCACACCGACAAAGTTAGAAATATTTGCGGAACAGGCAGAGGAGAAAGCTATACAAGATCAAAAAAGAATACGCCTGAACAAGATAAATGAAGCTTTAGAAAATAATTCTTTTGGGCGTAGTGGGATGGGGGTTTACACTGGACTGTTTCTCCACCCCTGCAGAAACCAATTAAAAGAAATTACTTCCAAGTAAGGATTACTGATACCTGACTTGGAAAGGGCTCACATTGAAATCTTCAGATTTGGTAATTCAGTTGTGGGTGTTTTAAGTAATAAGAGTTCATAGTACAGAATGCAGTATAACTTGGGAAAACAGTGAGAATCAGCAAGAGATAGAATAAAGGTGACATTTTATCTCCAGACATTTGGGTGGAGAACAAAGGGTGGCAGCAAGGGATTGTTCACTTTAAAAAGCAAAGGACTGTTTTGTGATGAGGAAAATGAACATTGTGGGCAAACAGGCATGTGGTAGCGGCTCCACATACATGTCGGTCAATGGTACCAATGAGAGATTTATTTATTTATTTATTTGTTTGTTTTTCCTGTTTTTTTTTTTTTTTTAATTTTTATTAGTGAAACACCATGAGGTACAGTTGTAGACTTTCAAATTTTTGTGCTTGGGTTTCAGTTAACAGTGATCAAGTACTCATCCCTCCACCAGTGCCCATTTAAAACCTAGCACTTTAGACTGAAGTAAATCCTCAGTCTAAACCAGCGTTTCCGAACGTGAGTGAATGCCCCCTTTTGTCGGGGTAGTTGTCTCAGGTGCGGTTGGGGGGTATTTTTCTGTTCATCCTAAAGTAGGTCCGTCAGTGGGTTGCTGAATAATTTCCTGAAAAGAGGACAGGGGGCTGGAGCGATAGCACAGCTGTAGGGCATTTGCCTTGCACGCAGCCAACATGGCCACCCGAGTTCGATTCCTCCGTCCCTCTTGAAGAGCCCGGCAAGCTACCAGGAGTATGTCGCCCGCACAGCAGAGCCTGGCAAGCTACCCGTGGTGTATTCAATATGCCAAACACAGTAACAACAAAGTCTCCGATGGAGACGTTACTGGGCCCGCTCAAGGACAGTTCAAGTAAAGACATTTGAAAAGCAGCAGTGCTCACCACTAAACCAACAGGATTCGAGAACCTCTGCCCCAGATCCTCCCTGACACTGATGCTCGACTTTTCTCTGACCCTGGCTCCCTCAGACTTGATTTCCTACCTGTGAGCCCTCCCACCTCTAGTCTCATGGCATGACCCCATCCATTTACATGATTTTTCACCCTTGGGGGTGGCTAGAAACAGTGCTCTGGAGCCGCACAGTTCAGTTTCATGTTCTGTCGGTTACTGGTAACGTCGTTGGTCAGAATTAAGAAAGCTGTGCCCTGAGTATAAAACATACCTGGTTAAAAGACAATGTTTTAAAATGTATTTTCTAATGTTGAGTCTCTCTTGAAATGATACTGTTTGGCCTAATACTAGGATAGAGAAAATGTACTTAAAGCAAGCTACTTCTAGTTTCCAGTTGAGTCTTCTTGGCCGTGGATTTCAGAATCGAAAGGCGTTTGGAGATCATACATTTCAAACTGTTCGTTTTACTTTCTAGGTGTGTTGACCTGAGAACCTCAGTAGTTCTTTGAACTAGAGCTCAAGATCTTAGGGGGGCTTTTTTCCTAATTTAATACATTGTGTGTTTCACAAGATTTCTTCTATATCAAATTCTTGGCAAAATTTCTTCTATATCAAATTCTTTCCACAATTTCCTGTACCTACTTGTGACAGTCTTGCATTTGCTCTCATTAAGTGAATCCTTCCCATCCCCCAAACAAACAGAAGACCTTGAAGATGATGCTGCTATTTTAATACTTAATCACAATGTCTTGGGTTTTGGTTGGATCTTAAATGAACAAGTATTCAAACGGATAAAGTCTAAGAGTCTGATGGTTCAAAAGCGTGATTTATTGTAGCTAAAAGTTGCTCCTCCGTTAGAAAGGCTGTGCTGTTCATAAGAGAGCACTGAGGACGGCCTAAAGAACAAAATGAGAAATCAAGAGACCAGAATTTCCATAAACGTATAAGCATTAGGCAGCTTAAACATTTGATTGGATGCTTTTATTAATGAGATACTATCATGAAAAATTTTTTCTTCCTCATACAGTATTTATGTGGAACCTTCTGTTCTTCTTCTGTTCTTTGTAGCTAGACTCATGCTTTCATGTATTACCCTTTGTATACCTGCAGACCAGCACCAGGCCTACACTGACCCACTGGTTCTTACCGCAGACTAGCCTGGGGAGGTTGGAGAATATGGGTTCAAGCTAGAAAATTATATGGACATTCGTTAACATGAGTATTTCATGGAGGTAGAATTTTAGAAAAGTTGAATGATCTCAAACTCTCAAACTTTACTTTTTTTTATAATTTTCTTTTTTTTTTGAGCAGTAATTGAGTTTATTCTTGTGTCTGTGCTCAGGGATCACTCCTGGCAGGGACTGAACCAGGGTCAGCTGGATGCAAGACTTGTGCCTTCACCGCTGTACTATATCCCCAGCCCTGATAATTATTCTTTACTAGAGATTCCTTCCCCAAAATTTTGCTCTTTCATCAGAAGGAAGATTTTTAGGATGCAGCTTTATGAAAAGTATTATATGAAATTATATCTAAAATGTTAATTGATTGTGATTATTAAAGGGATGAGAAAAAACTTATTTTTCTATTCAGTTGTAGCAGCAGTAAAGAATAGGACCTTGTATTCTGTTGCCATTTTTTAAATAGGAAAACTTTACCTGCTGCCTTTTTCCCCCCTTAGATGAAAATGAAGATATAAGGAAACTTGCAGAGAGTGAAATTACTTCTTGTCAGAAAGAAATAACTCAGTTGAAGCAGCAGGTATGGTATTTGTTGCACCATTGCTTTTAATGCGCTGTATTAGAGGTTTGTGAAAACGAAAAACTAACCAGCTTGTTATCATTTGGAATTCTGACCAGGTTTTAATTGTTTTATTTTCAATTTATTTATTTATTTCACTTTTGGGGTCACACCCAGCAACGCTCAGGGATTACTCTTGGATCTGCACTTAGGAATTACTCCTGGCGGTGCTTGGGGGACTAAATGGGATGCCGGGGATCAAACCTGGGTCAGCTGCATATAAGGCAAATGCCCTACCTGTTGTATTATCGCTCTGGCCCCCATGAACAGGTCTTTCTTTTTTTTCCCTTTTTGGGTCACACCGGCGATGCACAGGAGTTACTCCTAGCTCTGCATTCAGGAATTACTTCTGGCAGTGCTTGGGGGACCATATGGGATGCTGGGAATCGAACCTGGGTCATCCATGTGTAAGGCAAACACCCTACCTGCTGTGCTGTTGCTCCAGCCCCAACCATGAACAGGTTTTTAAATCAGGCAAAAGCCTAGTTCCTTGCGGTGCTGTTCGCATCATCCCGGAGAGCTTGTCCAACTCAGGGCTGTCACTGGGGTGGAAGAGCCCGGAAAGCGTGTGGCTTCATTCTCCAGCCCTGCATGCAGCATCCCAGCCACCCTGGCACTTTAGAGTTTGTACCAGAAAGCAGTGAAGTGCTGCTGTGGCATCTCCCCTCTTTCTTATTTTGTGTTTGTCACTGCTGTGGTGTGTGTGTGTGTTGGGGGGTGGGGGTGGGGCGGGAAGTGGGGGGAGGGGTGCACACACTTTTTCACACTGCACCAGGGTAAGTAAATCCAGGGCAGGATTCCTTGGTAACTGAGCCCTCCCTGGCCTTCCTTCACTCAGATTTTAAGAGTGTTGTAGGTGGGGGGTCCACGAGGTGATGATGGGGAGATGATGGGCTCCATCCTGTCTTAAGCTCTCCAGGAGAAGGAAGGAATGGTCTTTACCTCCTTCTCTCTGGCACTCTTGTGCCAAACCCTCAGGACTTTCATAATGGAATTGTGTCCATTTGGTTTCTGTCCTAGGAGAGTCTCAGGGGAACATATTGGAGTTTAGCCGGAGAATAATCAATATGTGAACTTAGAACCACTCGGCTAGTTCTGTAAAGCAGAGCTTAAGGATTTACAGCAGTCATCTCTGCAGTCTGAATGAAAATACTCTAAGGCAGGGAAGTAACATGGAAATAGGGTGCTTAATTGAGAGATTCTCTTCTCCAGCCAAATGTGGAATTTACTGAAATGACATGTTTCTGCCGCTAATTACAATTGAAGGAAAGTTCCACTCGAGTGAAAAATACAGTTCTTTCTCTTCTAGTATTTTTTTCTTGTGTGTATATGTATAATAGATATTTTTATTGACGATCTCTACTCATTGCCTGGTAATCATGTAAATCCTGACATTTGTTCAAGATAGAAGGAGAAGGTGCTCTCTGTACAGACGAAGACTCTGTAACGAGCATTGCCTCAGGCCCACATAGAGTGGGACTTCAAAATCTAAATTTACATTTTCTAGTCATGATACTGGGCAACTAGATTACACAACTTATTGAAACTTCGTATTTGCATTTTAAGGTGGGACTGTTATTGGTACCTACCTGAGACGGTTTTAAGAATGAGAGCATGTAAAGTGCTTAGCAGAGTGCCCATTTTTATTTAAGTTAGCTTAAAAAGACCTTTTTCTGTGCCTCCTTCATGAGTGTATGCTAACGTGTAAAATACTGAAAATACTGTTAGAGTATACCCAAGCACAGGAGTTTAAGTTTTTGTGCCTCTTCTTCAAGGTTCTATTTTATATGTATAAAAAAAAAAACCAGCAAAAAACAAAAGTAATCTCTGCCTTTACCCTGATTAACTAAACTGTAAATTTCCAAAGAGTTAAATTTGTATTCTGTATGTAATTATCCTACTCATAGCCCTTAATTATAAACTTAATGGGGAACATAAACACATGGGGGATAAAAGCCTGTAAGTGTTTATTCTGGGGGAAGGGTGGAGGGTGGCACACCTAGTGGTGCTCAGGGCTTACTCCTGGCTCTGTGCTTAGGAGTCATTCCTTGAGAGGCTTAGGCAACCTTTTGAGGAGCCAGGGATCAAACCCTGGTCCGCCTGCAAGTCACGTAGCCTACCTGCTATACTGTTTCCTACCCCAAATCCTGTAATTATTAGCAGAATCTTATGGCCTGTTTTACGGTACTATTGAATTGGGGGGCAGGGGAGTTAAACAACATAGTTCCAGTTTATACAGATGGTTGAACAGTATTGGCAATATTGTTTGCATAGCACAAGTTTAAATGAACTGTTTAAAATCCTGATCTAGGCAGATAGAGTGTTAACTAGAATTCATCTGCCTCACAGGGACTGGGAGGGGTCGGGGGTGGGGTTTTATTGGGGTTCTTCATGGTAAAAAATAAGTGTTGGTAAAGGGAAATGTGTTTGATATTTGCATGACTGAGACCTAAACCTGAAAGCTTTGTAACCTTTCCCACAGTGATTCAATAAAAAAAAAAAAAAAAAGAAGAAGGAAAAGGAAAAAAAAAATCCTGATCTAGGGACCAGAACTATAGCGCCCTGGGTAGGGCATTTGACTTGCTTGCATCCAACCTGGGCTTGATCCCTGGCACCCTGTATGGTCTCTTGAGCACCTCAAAGAGAAAATTCTTGAGTGCAGAGCCAGGAGTAAGCTCTCTGAACATGACCCCCAAACAAGCAAAAATTTTAAAAATGAAACCCTACGTCTAATCATTGAGCTTTTTAAACTTTAGATAATTTATTATAGGAGTGGGCGATATTTTTGTATTTACAGATTATCTTACTTTTGGTTCCCTCTGAAGAAACAGATGAAAATGATTTGATCCTGGAGGTCACAGCAGGAGTCGGAGGCCAGGAGGCGATGCTGTTCACAGCGGAGATGTTTGATATGTATCAGCAATATGCTGCATTTAAAAGGTGGCACTTTGAAACCCTGGAGTATTTTCCCAGTGAAATAGGTCAGTAAACCATTTAATTTGTAAGGTTCAGATTCAGTCATTTATATAAATTTACACGTGTCCTTGCAAAAGGGTTGGATTACACACTAGTTTGTTTTTTTAATTGTGACTTTATGGTTTATAATATTGGTAATGATTTTTTCATGCACATAATTGTAACACCATACCCACCACCAGTGTTCCCACGCCCTCCACCCCGATGATCCAAACACCCCTCCCTTTCAAACTCCCCACACACACACACAGCACCATCATCAACAGCAACTCAATTGTGTGGACACAAATTTTGAACAGGGCTGTGAAAGCCCTGCAGTTGTCTTTTAAAAATTGTCTTTTAGCCTTGTTGGAGCCGTTCATTAACACCATCAGTGTTCCTTGTCTGACAGTCGCCAACAAATGCGATGCTATTAAAATGCTTTGTATCACACAGCTCTCAATTTTGTGATCGATGTCCTTATTATTTTTGTAGCTTTGTAAAGTAAATTTGGAGATGGTAGGAAGGATGGCCAGTCAGGAATAATAAAATATATTCTTACTATCTTCAAGGAGGTGTCAGGCATGCGTCTGCCAGCATCGGGGGCTCAGAGGCCTATAAGCTCATGAAATTTGAAGGAGGGGTCCACAGAGTGCAGAGAGTGCCAAAGACGGAGAAGCAGGGCCGCATCCACACCAGCACCATGACGGTCGCCATACTGCCCCAGCCTACGGAGGTGGGTCCCGACAGCACCTCGCAAAGCGCTCCCATGAACCGAGTGGCACCTTTGCTTATATTCTGAATCGTCTTTGAGGATCTACCATCTCGGTCTAAAAAGTATGACTTTGTAATATATGATCATGAAGGACATACCTGATCTGGTCTTGCATTGTCTATTCTCCACCACGCTTTTCTGTAGGAGAAACTATGAAGCAATCAGACATGATGGGTTAAGACATTGTGTTTAGGGGCCAGAGCTATAGTACAGCGGGTAGGGCCTTTGCCTGGCATGTGGCAGACCTGGGTTCTATCCCCAGCATCCCATACGGTCCCTCAAGCATCGCCAGGAATAATTCCTGAGGGCAGAGCCAGGAGAAACCCCTAAGCATCGCTGGTTGTCACCCAAAAATCAAAAATGTATTTAAAAATATATTTTTTTAAAAAAAGGCATTGTCTTTAATACTGGTTTTGTTTCCTGTGATTGGTTAGAAGAGTCCTGCTCTCACAAGGGCAGCCTCTTGTCAGAAGTTTTGCTTCATGAGCTAGTCATGTTAAAACAGAAATTGTATAATTGAAATCCAAGCACAAAAATTTGTAAGTCTACAACTATACCTCATGGTGTTTCACTAATAAAAATTTTAAAAAAAAGAAAATAATAGAATAAAATAAAACGGAAATACTGTGTTTCCATGTTCATTGCAGAGTACGCTGTATTCTCCAGAATCCTGTCTATATACTGGTAAGATAGAAAATGAGGCAGGAAATAAAAAGAGGTGAACGGGAGGTGCAGGGCAGGGGTCAGGGACCTCGGCACATGGGTGGTAAGTGTATCTATATATCCGGACCACAGTGCCAACAACACTGAAAACATGAGATTAAAGACAACAGCAACCAAACTGAAAAACGTGTCAGGGAGGCAGGCCGGAGGCCACGACGGCCTGGGGTCATTGGCGGGACACTGACCCTGATGGCGGGACTGGTGCCGGAACATTATATACCTGAAACTCAACTATTAATACCTTTGTAAGTCTCAGTGCCTTCATGAAAAATTGGTTAAAAAAAATTTGCATCCTTTGGAGGTTGACGTGTAGTAGAGCATGTCTCCTGTATGTGGTTCCTGAGTTTGAGCTCTAGAACCACTAAAATAGAATATGTTCTTCTTTCTATGTCTTTGGGGAGAGGATGGAGGGTTTAAGCCACACGGGGCTCCTTTAGGGATCATTCCTAGAGGTGCCGGTAGGCCAGATGTGCCTGGAACCCACCTCGGTCAGCTGCACGCAAGGCAAATGCTTGACCCCTGGACTCCAGTGTCCCTTCCTAATCTTACAGAAATCCTGATCAGAGGACTGGAGAGAGGAGGGCTCTTGTGTGCTGCTGACCCCAAGTTCAATGCCCTGCACCCCATAGATCCCCGGAGTCCCTCCAGGAGTGATCCCTGAGCACAGACAGATGTTGTCCAAAAAAACAGAAAAAAAAAAATCCTGATCGTGAAATGACTAGTTCGTGTAATTTTTATTCACTTTTTTTCATATGAACAGATTAACCTGGTGATCAATCCCAAAGACCTGAGAATTGATACCAAGCGAGCCAGCGGCGCTGGGGGCCAGCATGTGAACACCACGGACAGTGCTGTCCGCATCGTCCACCTTCCCACAGGTGGGCACTTCCTCCTTGGAACTTGGGGAGCTCAGCCGGCTCCAAACAGCCGGTGGAGTTCACAACTCCCAGGGAAATTGAATAGTCCATTTATTTAGAACCCTTAGCTGAACTCTGCAGGATCATCAAACACAGGGAGAAGGGAGGGCTCTGCATCCCCAAAGGCCGTATTAGTGATTGGAGAGCGAAGGTGTGTTTCTTCAGATGATTTTCTGGACCTGCACTTAGTAATCCCCACTAGTGGCGAGCCAGCCCTTCATGAGATAACTGACAGGCTGTCAGAAAGTGCTGTCAGTGTTTCTCAGCCTTTCTCCAACCGTGGCCTCCTCCCAACCTGGTTTTCTTCCTGCGTACCCCTCTGTCCCTCCCCCTCTGCCCCTTAGTCTTGATCACCCCCACCCATCTCCCCTCACCCCCTGTGTATGCTTTTTTAACCTATGACCCTCTTGGAATATTCTGGGGTCTCATTCAAGGGCCCACGTAGGCCCAGGTGGAAAAATGATGCTATTCTATCACTGGTTATCAGCCTTTTGGAAAAATAATATACTTGAGAAAGTGAAAGCTTTGCTATACTTCTCAAAAACACATGTAGAGGCCCAACCTCCCAAACAAAATTTTTTTTTCCTCTTGAATACATGTCTTTCTCTCCCTTCATATTTCTCTTAAGCAGATTTCTTGAAATAAAACTCTTACTAGACTCAAAAAAAATACTTAGATGTAAAATTGATGTTACTTTCAGGGGCTTCTTTCCATTGGGTCCATTCACAGATCTCTAAGGTTTCTGATTCTAGACGTCGAGCTGTATCTGAATGTTTGTTAAGCCTTTATTGCATGTGTTTTACAAGTAGCACTGCAGTTTTTAGAACTTTTTTTTTTCCTTTTTCGGTCACACCCAGCAATACTCGGGGGTTAATCCTGGCTCTGCACTCAGGAATTCCTCCTGGCGGTGCTTAAGGGATCATATGGGATGCCGGGAATCAAACTGGATCCAGCCATGTGCAAGGCAAACCCCCTACCCGCTGTACTTTTGCTCGGGCCCCCAGCACTGCAGTTTTTATCCTGTGGCTCAAAAACCTCAGTTATTCAGGAAGGAACACTTAAACAAGACCCATCTCAGGCAATGATTGAAAGTGCTGAATTAATGTTTTGAATTTTGTTTTGAATGAGGCTCTCCTTTCAAACTTTAAGATCATACTTTATTTAATAGTATGTACTGGAAATATTGTAATTCTCTCTGGTAATGAGATTTATTTTTAAATGTTTCTGTGAGTACCTACTACTCTAAAAATTATAGTGGCTAACTTAAGGCATGTCCAAAGAACTCACATTCCATAAGTTCTTACTATTTAAATAAATAATAATTATTTAATGTACATATTTCCAATACAGAAATTCCCAATACTACAGTTCAAACTTAAATTGTTCATAATACTGAAAACAGTGGGTAGGGTGTTTGCTTTGCACACGGCTGACCCGGGTTCAATTCTTCTGTCCCTCTCGAGAGCCTTGCTAGCTATCGAGAGTATCCTGCCCTCATGGCAGAGACTGACAAGCTCCCCGTGGCATATTTGATAAGTGAAAAACCGTAGCAAGAAGTCTCACACTGGAGACGTTACTGGTGCCTGCTCAAGCAAATCGATGAACAACGGGAGGACAGTGCCACAGTGCTACATATTTCCAGTATGGAAATTCTCAATTCAGTTCAAACTGAAATTGTTGATAATACTGAAAAACTTCAGTGCATTGTCTTCCTTTTTATAGTAGAACCCTGTTTTTTCACTTCCTAAAGGAAGAAGAAAAGGATGAAAGGACAAGAATTTTTCCTTGACAAAAAAGGAAGAAGATATTTCTATTAAAACTCTTTAATTCTCATAATGCTATTCAGGTATTGTTTCTGAATGCCAACAAGAGAGATCTCAACTGAAAAATAGAGAGCTGGCCATGAAAAAGTTACGTGCAAAACTATACAACATGCAGCTAGAAGAAGAAACCAGTAAAAGATACAATGCGAGGAAGATCCAGGTAAAGCTGATTTTTCTAAACTGCTTCTAGGGGCTCGGAGGCAGCTCAGTGATAGAATCCTTGTTTTCTTAGTGGGGCTCCAAATTTAAGAACTCTGAATTTATCTCATGATATTCAGCTATAACCAATCAGAATGCCTATAACAGAGCCCCCATTATAAAATACCTAAATAGGTTGCTTTTCAACTTGGTTCCAAAATTCCAAAAGGATTTGAAGGCAAAGCGACGTGTCTGCCCTGCAGCCCAGTATTCTAAAAGTATTTTAGATAATCTAGATATTAAAATTGTTCTCATGTGTTTATTCAAGGAAAACAACAAATCTTCATGTTTGGAGGGAGTCCGGGGGGCAACCCAGTAGTGCCTGGGGAGTACGTGCCAAGAAACAAGTCAGGCTGACTGCATGAAAGCAGATGTTACAGTGTCACCGGCCCCGCTGTACACTTGGCTGTGAAACTGTCCTTGATCTCGTTCTGCCCCATTTCCTATTTCTATAAAATAATCCCCTTCCTTTCGCTTCAGTCCTGGGGACTGAACTCGGGCCCTCGTGCCTGTGGAGCCTGCACTGTTCTGCTGAGCCATGCCCTGGTCCCTGAGGAAAGTTTCTAAAGATACTCCTGGGCCAGGACTGTGACCCCAGTGGCAGAGCATATGTGACACAGTCTCTACAGAGACAGACACGTCCCTTTCGTTTCAGACCTTTTGGAATTTGGGAAGGAAATTGAAAAGCAATCTTGTTCGGTATTTGATTTTATAATGGGAACTCTTTTATAGGAATTCTATTTTTTAATCTGTTTAGCTGTCAAACACCAGCTCTATTCTAGGCTGAATATATGTAATGCATATATACATCAACATCATCCTTGTGTTGTAGTACTTGTGTCTATTTTATAGACACTGAAGTTTAGAGTCAAAATAAATTTAATGGAACCATGGAGTACGGAAGTGGCAGAGGATACAAATTCTAGCCCAAGGCCTCTTATTCTGTTGCCACTGATTACACCTTTGTTCTTGAAAAATGCAGTACACAGCTGCCAAAAACAACTTGGGTTCATTATGTGGTTGATGTTAAATTAGTATTTAGTTCTTGCATTTATGTGTTCAGGAGTCTTTCACTGTTTCCAGATTTTTCATGGATTCCCACCTCAACCTCTGGCCACATTCGGTTTAAAAAGTTAGGTACTAATCTTTAAACATCATATTTTTTTTCTTGATTATAATCATTTGAAGATTCCAAAGTAGTTTTTAATAATGTTTGAAGTTATAAACCAGCAGCTTAATCTCTAGAAATCACAGCTGTGGACTTAGTTGCCCTGAATTCGTCTGTTTTTTTTCTCCAACTCTCCAACTATAGATCGGCACTAAAGGAAGGTCAGAAAAAATAAGAACATACAATTTTCCACAGAACCGAATCACAGATCACAGAATAAACAAGTCTCTTCATGATCTTGAAACTTTCATGCAAGGAGAACACCTGCTGGATGAACTTGTACAGTCACTGAAGGAATATGCTGATTATGAGTCTTTAGTGGACATTATTTCCAAAAAGTTGTGAGTTGATATGATATATCAAAGACATTTATAGCTCATAAAAATTCTTTTATGGCAAAGTGTGCTTTTGAACATGAATGAACAAAGAAATAATGTGCATATTTCAATATGTAATTTATGTATATCCGTGTATTAAAAGAAATATATTCATGATTGTCAAATTTCTTACTCTTCACAAATAATCAAAGGAAAATAGTCCTTTGTTTTATGTATAACGTTTGATGATCAAATATTTTTCATATTTGATTTTTACATGTGTAACTTAGAAAAAGGCTTCAAATGTAAAAGCATTAAGGGAGTGTAAAAACTGTGAGCCGTTGCCCATTCAGGAGACACAAATCATGCCATTAACAAGAGCAGGGATTTTAATGTAAATAATTTTTAACTAAAAATAAAATTGGGTATCAGGGAAAATTTTTAAAAGGTGGGAACACTGGGTTGGAGGAGAAGGCCAAGGAAAGTGAGACCTTCCCTCCAGGGTGGAGAGTCTGGTTATTGGAGAGGGCGTGGCTGCAGCCCTCTCAGGTCAGAGGTCAGGAGAGTCTTTGGGGCTACCCCAGCCAGCATTGGTCCAGTGTCAGTGAATTAGGTTCTTACTAAGGCCCAAACCTCAGGAACAGTTGGTGTATCAGAAAGCCTACCGCCAGTGTCTCGCCCAAAGGAAGCTAGTCAGTATGTGTCTGCATTAGGCCGGAACAGAGAATGGTCATCAGGAAGTACGTGTAAGGGGAGGCATTTCTGATGAGGATCTGGCTCCTGTCAGCAGTGTCCGCTAGCTGGAAGCACAGAGCTGATCAGTCTGGAAATAGTTGATGACGCAGTTCTCTTGGAAGCAGATCTTTGTTGCTGAGATCTTTGTTACCTTCAATTGGCCATGCTCAAGCACCTGGAATACGTAGTAATTTCACTAATATGTTTTTGTATATATTTATTTAAAAGGTACAAACACCATTAAATTTCACCCCGATATATCTCATTTCTGAGTTTTAAGAAATCATTTTCCCACTGAAGCACACTCTTTATGCACACCTACAAAATTTGGAGTAATTCCCTCATCTATTCAGATACCCGGACTTGGTGCCAGGCTATTTTCACTCAGGGTGCCCCAGAGTGGGGCGGGTAAGAGCCCTCCTCCCCGCCCCAAGGGACCCACCCCAGCAGCCAACCTCCACTACCCAACTGCCGACACGCTCCAGGCCTCTATCTGGACACATTATAAGACACTTCCCACCCATTTTCTGCAATTTCTACACCATATCTGATGGGGTTCAGACAGTAGGCAACAAATCATAGAGAGAAATACATAAATATATGCCTCTCGGATTGCCCAGCAAGCTACCAAGAGTATCCCGCCTGCATGGGCAGAGCTTGGCAAGATCCCTGTGGCGTATTCCATATGCCAAAACCAGTAACTACAACAGGTCTCATACCCCTGACCCTGAAAGAGCCGCCAATCTTTGGGAAAAGATGAGTAAGAAGAGGCTGCTAAAATCTCAAGGCTGGGAGGAATAGAGACGTTTTCTGGCGCCCGCTTTAGTAAATCAATGAACAATGGGATGACAGTGACACAGTGATTCAGAGACCCAGTTAATCATATTTCCCTGCTTCTCTGAAATTTTACCTACTTGTGAATGACAGCACAGCAGTTTGTGTTAAGTAAGCCACATCCAAGTGAGGGTCGCTAGTGGTGCATCTGCCAATGTCAGTATGTTAAGCCAGAATCCAGTGAAGGATCACACATGGAAGTTGATGGCTCTATTTAAATCTCCATTAATCTACAGCCTACACATGATACACACACATTTACCAATGGCTGTATTGAATTTCCATAACGTATACACATTCCGCCCCATAGACACTATTGAACATCTATTTAAGATCAGATTATTACATCATTTAACTTGTTGCACACATCTTAGTATTTATTACAAACTGAAAGTGAAGCTTTAAGATTTGCCTGGTTTTCAAATACTGTCTCTCTAGTAGCTGAGTGTTTTTGTGATTAAGCCCTATTTCAAACCCAAGGTGCTTTGTTGAAGTGTATGACTTTCTAAAGTGTCCAATAAAGATAAACCTTGTGAATCAAGGACTTACAGTTGAAATTTAGTGTAAAGCTAAATCAGGACAATCTTTCCACCAGTATTTTTGTTAAGGTTTAAGAAAAAAATGTTGCTACCTTTTTTCCATGTGAATCTTGATTATAAAAAGCTCTTTTCAGGTTTGAGATAACTCTACACTATAAAGAATTGGTCCAGGAGAGAAGGAAAAGTTCAAGAATGTCTGCTTCAGGCTACAGAACTGTAAAGGAAGGACACTTGTATTGAGAGCAACAGAGTACAGAAGTGGGCTTCGTTTATCAATAGGAGATACCACCTGTTTTGTATACGCATGCCCCCCTCTGCAGGAAATAATATTGAACAAAGACAACTAGAACATGGCAGCTAGCCAATAAAGTAAGAACAGCTGGAAGTAATGCTTTGAAGTTTTTTAAGCATGTGGGAACTAAGGAACCTACCACTTGAGAATTAATAAGTGCCAAATTCAGTCCTTGAATCATGGCAGAATTTCCAGAAACAAAACTAGTTCTCAGGGTCACGTGATTACAATGTTAGTTTGCAGATAATCAGTTTATTGTCATCGTCCACGTTTGGTAGAATTAACAGCAGTCTGAATTCTGAGAACATACACTACATAAATTCACAGCCATATTACTATGAAATGTTTTCTCTTAGGCCAAACTTTTTTTTTTTTTTTGTCTTTTTGGTCACACCCAGCAATGCTGACTCTGCACTCAGGAATTACTTCTGGTGGTGCTCAGGGGACCATATAAGATGCCAGGAAAGTACCCGAGTCAGCTGCATATAAGACAGACAAACTCCCAACCCTCTGTAGTATCACTCCAGCCCTTTAAGCCAAACTTTAATATCCCGATTTCCTTGACAGTCCCTGCTTGTGCTGATTTGCAAAGTAATTTTATATTACCAAATTATTCCCTTTCATTAATTGTAAAGGGTATTAATAGGAAAACCATTCATGACAATATACCATAGACTTTAATACAAAGAGAATTCCTCTCCTCTTAAATACTTTTTCATGAAAAGGATTCAAGTAGAATGAACACAGCTCTCAGTGAACTGTGTGGTGCGAAACTTAATGTTTGTTCGACATAACAAATACCAGCATAGGGCCTAATGCAAACTTAGGTCTCCCACCCCTTAGGAGGAGTTGGGAATCACGGAGAACCCTGGAGCAGTGCTTAGTAGGCATGGAGACCCCACCAGCTATTCACCAGGTTGTAGGCTCAATGTAAGAGCCCAGCGATGCATTGCTGCTGGGACCCGACAGTGGCAGGAATATGCAGAGCATCTCCATGGTGCTCAGCTGCACCCTGAGACACCCAGGGGACCATGTGATGCCGACGCCATAGAGCACATGCCCATTTAATCCCTATACCATCCCTGGCCCCTCTCTCCACCATTTTATACTTTCCTTTTAGGTCTTTCAGAAAAAAAAATCCCATTGGCAGGTTAATACTATATTTCTCGTTTCCTTTACATAGGTAAAAAGTTTTAAAAGTGGAACTAGAGATTGTGCAGGGTGTCCGATGTTGAATTTCATTCATTTCATTCTGTAAATAAGAGCTACTAAAACTATTTATTCTACCCTGACTCATTTTCTATACCCTCACTCCCTACCTCTTGGGGGTAAAGGTGTGAGAAAAGCAGTAATGAAGGTAGACAAGAAACATCAAATTCTGGGGCTGGAGCGATAGCACAGCGGGTAGGGCATTTGCCTTGCACGCGGCTGACCAGGGTTCGATCCCCGACATTCCATATGGTCCCCCAAGCACCGCCAGGAATAATTTCTGAGTGCAAAGCTAGGAGTAACCCCTGAGCATTGCTGGGTATGACCCAAAAAGAAAAAAAAAAGATCAAATTCTAAGCTTCCTCTTCACTAGAATATCATTGCTACTTAGGAAAAAAAATCATATTACCTACACGATTTTACCAGTACAAATTCAGATATGAGGAAATAGTCTTTCTGACACTTGTATCTGAATGAGCAGGGCTCCTACTTCATTCAATAACTTGCATTCTTAGGTATCAAATGCAACTTTGGGAAAGGGTAGAGCAACATCATTTTGGGATGACAACTATTTACTAGTGCTCTTTGTAGCTCCTTGCACAGGAAGTTCACTGGTCTTGGTTATAACTATGCATTATCACTGCTACCTGCCTTTGCCAATGCTACAGTCTGCCTGTAACCCACTTCAGGGTCCAACCTAAACTTTCCCTTGGCAGAATTAATTGCTCTTCATTACTGTCACCATATTTTAGTACTTTTATGACTACATTTATGGCAAGGTCATAAAGTCATGTTTTGTAGCTGTATGATAAGGAAACGGCAAGGGGTGGGATCTTAGTCCAAAGCCTCAGACAACTTCTCCAGGAGATTTTAAGTGAGTCATTATGCCCCTACTGCTCGTTCTTTCCCATATCTTATATTCCCCCTTATCCTACAGAAATGCGAATTTCTTCCCATTAATATATAAACTTGTATGTCGATTTGTTTTGGGACCAGAGAGATAGTGCAGCAACTAAGGCACCTGGCTCAGCCCCAGCTGATCCCGGCTCATCCCTAGCACAGCATATGGTCCGAGCACAGGGCCAGGAGTAAGCCCTGAGCACAGCCAAGTATGGCCTAAAATCCAAAAGAGTTTTTCCACCCATTACTTGCAAGACCCAGGCTACGGTGTGCGTGACACATGAGTGGGGTTCTAACAATATTATTAAAACCCCTATGCAGGGGCCAGAGTGATAGCACAGTGGGTAGGGTGTTTGCCTTGCACGCGGCCGACCTGGGTTCAATCCCAGCATCCCATATCGTCCCCCAATCACCACCGGGAGTAATTTCCTGAGTGCAGAGCCAGGAGTAACTCCTGAGCATCGCTGGGTGTGATCCAAAAAGGAAAAACCTCTATGCAAAAAGCCAGAACATATACCATAATTATATATCAAGATGCCATCCATCCTGCACTGAAGTAACTCACCCCAGTTGGCAGTGCCTTATATTAGCAACTGGAGCACTTACTATACACACATTCTTTTTTTTTTCACTGCGGAAAAACAAGGAGAAACTGAAAAAAAAGACAGAAATTAGCACTAATTGAAATTTACATCCTGCGATTTCTCTCAGCATCAGCATGCTTGTGGAATAACTTACTCACTTAAAAACACCTTATTTCAGGACTAGTCTCTTGCACTTGACCCCTTAAGTAAAAGCAAATACCAGCTTGCTCTTCAAGCCCATGTTCTCCCATGAACAAATAACTGGATTTTTGTCTCTGCTTGCTTTTTTTTAAATTTTTTTTTCTGCTTGCTTTTTAAAGCAATTCTCTATTCCTTTTCTTCTCCCACCTCTCATCTAAGTTTCATTCAATAAATGCTGAGTCGGGGCTTCAGCTAAGAGTGAGGAATGGAGGGGCTCGAGAGATAGCACAGCGGGGAGGGCGTTTGCCTTGCACGAAGCCGACTGGGGTTCGATTCCCAGCATCCCACATGGTCCCCTGAGCACCGCCAGGAGAGACTCTTGAGTGCAGCGTCTGTGCATCATCACATGAGCTCTATGCAGCAACCACTGACACTTGGTAAAGTGACTGTCAAGTTGACAGGTATGTGGGTGGGAGTGGGGGTGTGGGAGGGTATGTGCGATCACTGGTGGAGGGAAGTTGACACACGTGGAGAGATTAGTGCTGAATAACTGCCTAAAACACAAATATTAGTAACTGTAACTCATGGCTCTTTAATAAAATTTAAAAAAATAAAACTATCCTGCGTCGCTAAAAAAGAAAAAGAAAAAAAACCCAAGACTGCACATCCCTTACAAAGCAAATGTGATTGAACTGCAGGTTAAGTCACAAATCAATGACCCTTACAAGGAAAAAAAAAATGGAAAAAAAAAAAGCAAACGCATGCCTTCTACCTCCTCCCGCGCCGGAAGGCCCCCAAAAGACGCGGTTCAGCTCTCCCGCCACCGAGCTGGAAGGTACCACCCTAGGCGGGTCAGGAGATACGTGGATCCACCCAGCACGCCCGGCACGCCCGCATCCCTCCCATCCCCTCCCGGGCAGAAGCGCGGGGGCTCCAGTACGCAGGCGTCAACCCGCCAAGCGCCCCCGCCACTGCGCCTGCGCATTTGCAGGGGGGGGTCGGAGGGAGAGCGAGAAGCGCGCCTAAATCCTAGAGAGGCGGGCTCTCGCGGGCTGGGGGGTGGGCGCGTCTTCCGGGAGGTCCGGACGCCCAGCGGCGCACCAAACTCGCACCGAGATGACCGGGAAAGCGGGGCTACGCTCGGTAGCCATCGGAGATGGGACAGAAGCCGGAGCTGCGTCCAGGATGAAGTGGACACCCCGGGACGGCCGATATCCGAGGCGGCGGAGTGGACCGAGGCGGGTGTGCTGCGCAGGCGCGGTAGGCTCCCTCCACGTGGGGCCGGGCCGCGGCTCCCCGCGCTCCGAGCTCCCACCTCCGGCCCCGCCCCGGCTTCAGCATCTTTCCGGTGGCCCGGAGCCGGCCGGCAGGAAGGGAGGGTGGGCTCTGCGGCTTGGCCCCGCCCCGCTCGCCTCCCATTGGCTGTGCGGGAAGGAGGGCCCTCGCACCGCCTTCCCATTGGGACGCGCTTGAGAGCGGCGCATCCCATTGGTCGGGGCGGATTTGGGCACCAAATTCAAAGATTTTAAAAGTACCCAGCTGGCGCCTTTTAGCCGATCTTCGCTCCAGCGCGCCGGGCTTGCTCGCGGGTCGGCCGCACCCGCTGCTCCTCCTCCGCTCTCACCTGAGGCGGACCCCGCTGGCCACGGGCATGAGCCGCTACCCCTGCTCCTCACGGCTTCCCTCCTGCGCCTGCTCCCGTCGCCACAGCCACAGCGCCCTGACAGCCTCCGCGGCCCGGCGGCCCTCCGAGAGTGAGTGAAGGGAGCGGGGCGCGCGCGTCCAGCAGCCGACCGCCGGCTGAGGGGGGATTTGAGGGGGGACTTGAGGGGACCGAGGACCCACGCCGCGTGGCGCGTCGGGGCGGCTGAGGCGGTTTCGGGACCCCGAGTGAGAAGGAGGGATGGATGGGGCTGAGGGGAGGATGAGGGGGACGGGGAAGCTGAGGCGCACGGGAAGCTGAGGCGGGAAGGCGCGCCGGGGGTCGCGCCTGGAGACCCCGCGGGGTGGCGGTGTCCCCTGTCGCCTGTGAGAGAGAGAGTGGTCGCCTCCCCCGCGCCAGAGCCCCTTCCCCCACCCGGGCCTCACTGACAGGGCCCGCGGGACCCCGACTCTGGCCCGGGATTGGGGGGCTGCCCCATCCTTCCCTGACCACGCGGAGCCTCCCCCCCTTTCCCTGCTAGGACCCCCCCACTCTCGGGGGTCCTGCGGCGAGGCGGTGACCCCCGCGTGTGAGCGCCACAGCGCGGGTGGCGGGCGCGGGAGATCCAGCTCGCGCTTATCTCCCGCCTCCACCTCCCGCCCGCGCCCTCCGGGGCCACCGCCGCGCCGACCCCTCGGGTCTCCCGCCAAAAAAAAAAAAGGCTGGGACGACCCCCACTCACCCCACTCGGGCAGGATGTCTGTCTGCCCCTCAGAAACCGGCGCTTTTCCTTCTATTTTAACCCCCCTCAGTTGCCCCTTGGTGTCAGCGCCTGGAGGTGGCCTCCGGGCGGGAGGGAAAATTCCTTTTTTTTTTTTTTTATTTGTACCCCCGCCCGGGATTCTGGCCCGCCTTGGACGGGGTTCCGGGGAATTGGGTTTTGCAGAAATGGTCGATGTCCCTTTGTATCTTCTTCAGTTTGGCGGGCGGGATGGAAGCCCAAAGGGAGACATTCTTTTTTTTCCTCATCTCGGTGTCTCTCCCTCTTCTCAGAGAGATGCGGAATGCATGCAGGTTCACCTCAACTCCCCCAACAAGGACAATCCCCCCCCCCCCCCAACACACACACACACACACACACACACCGATTTTCAGAGTTAGCCATTAGGGGCTGTAAAGGTTTGGTGACTTCCCTGTGGAAAGACATCCAGAGGGCACGAGAGGGAGGTCATTTTACCCTGACTGGATTTGGAGTGTTCAAAGCCCATTTCTTCAGAGATCCTGAGTCGTGGAGGACCTCTGTGAAATTCTGAAGCTCGGTGAATCACTCAGAAGCCCCCCCTGGATAGTTGGATTTCAGTTCTTTTCCCTCGTCTTTATTCCACAGAGACAATATTTTTCTCTCAGCTCCTTGCAGTTTCTTTGCTTTCTGAATGGGAGGAAATGAAGGCGATTGCATCCAGAATCTTTTTGAAAGGGGGCTTTTCTAAAATTTTCCCCCTAGGTTTTTGCAGTTTCAAGGTCACACAGGCCTTGGGCCTCTCAGACTCCTACTGTTGGGCACATGGTGGGTCTTGGTGAAATTGAAGGTTGTGGAATTTAGCAATGGGATCTCGCTGTAAAGATTTTTCAACAGGGTGGACTATTTCACTGTGGGGGTTTTTGGGGGGTTTTGCTTTTTTTTTTTTTTTTTTTTGAGTTCAGACCCATTGATGCTCAGTCAGGGGTTACTCTGACTCTGCACTCAGGAATTAATTTTGGCAGTACTTGCGTGACCATATGGGATACCAGGGATTGAGCCTTGGTGGGCCAGATGCAAGGCAAACTTCCTGCCTGCTGTACTATTGCTCTGACACCATCAATTTTTTTTTTTAATGATGTCTCTTTGGAAAGCTGGATGAAAAGTTGAACTTTGTCCAGCTGACCCCTTTACCAGTACACAGCCCAAGTTTTTAATCATTGATTGGAAAGGGGTGTATGATATTCCAAGATCTCCAAGCTACTTTAGAGGAAGGATTTGCCTTTGGATCTGATTCCTCTGAAAACTATGATACTTGCTTCTAGTGGAATATGTTTGACTGCTTTAATAAAAGTCCTTGATGTGTTGTACAAAGGGAAGCACATTTGAATTAAACCAGTTTTACTACAGGCTAATCAGTATAATTAAGAGTCTAGTACCTACATCTTTTTTTTTTTTTTTGCATAAAGGACCTCAAAACGCCTCTCTAAGAAAAACCAATAAATTTTTCATCTTCCAATCTGCCTATTTCAGTTCGTGGCCTATAGTCCATGAGTGGTGCTTGAGTGGAAAGTGGAGTGGAAAAGGAGACTGCACAGGAAGCCGTTCCATGGTGCGCTCACTCTACTACCTAGACTCCACTGTTTCAACACAGCAGTTTCCCTTAAGTACACAGTTTTGAGATGTGGAGACAACGCTCCCACAGACTTGGGGAGCGCCTACAGCCATCCACACACTATGACATTTTTCTTTTCTCATCAATATTATAAAGTTAAAGGAAAGGGTGTTGTTTGAGTTCCTGTTGCAAAAGGCTATGGAGGGATGTGGGTTAATGTGATGAAATGTCTGTGGATTAACACCTATCTCTGCCAGTATTTAGTCCACATTTATTTTCTTGCCCCCATGTATGGATGAGAAGATTAAGAATTCTTTAACTTATTGAGATTCCTCCAGCTCAGCAAATGACATCATACCTTAGATGTTTGAGATTTGACCTCTGTTGGATAGAGAGGGGGAGGAGGGGATATTGGTTTGGGGAACCACACCCAACAGTGCTCAGGGATTACTCCTGGCTCTGTGCTCAAGGATCACTCCTGATAATGTTTAGGGGATTGTGGGTGCCAGGGATCAAACTCAGGTTGGCTGTGTGCTGTTAGTATCACTCCGGCCCTTAAAATCCAATATTCTTTATTTTGTAGACTGATATATATCAACCTGGGGGGTATATGATGAAAAACAGGACATTGGGAACTAAAATAGACCAGGAAAATAGGGCAGAGCCACAGGAAGGTTACAAGGTCTCAGAAATGGTAGGGAAAGGTTGAGAAATGCTCCAATATACTTTTATCTTCCCCTGGCTCACTAACATGTCTTTCTATTCCTTGAACACTTGACATGTGTCCTGTATTTCCTTTTGCTTAGAAGGTAATTTCACCCAAAAAATCTGATTTCTTGTCCTCCACCCTGTCCTATGTAGTCATTAAATAAATGAAGTTGCAGGGCTAAAATCGTAACCCTTGTCTTACTGATTCAAGGGGTCAAGGAAACACATGTCCTCTCCTTTTCAAGGTAATATAGGCCAGTACTATTAATATCGACATTTCTCAGACTGGCAACATTTAGTTTGGTTATTGGAAATCACTGAGTTCCTTGAAAGAGTGGAAGAGTGGAACTAGCCTTTGGCACTCTACTTTCATCTTAAAGCACATTTCCTCCTTTTACATTTTAAAGCTAAATCTATTAAGCAGCAAGCAGCTTTGGGACTAATGAGAATAGTTCAAATTCCTGGAGGAAGTATTGGTTCTATTTAAGGTGATCCTAGAACATTGTTTAGAGTCAGAAAATAAATAATAGACAAATAAATAATAAGACAAAATATTAGAAGTATGTTGGATGGACCTGGATTTATAACACTTTCTGGCTGTTGGGTTCACATCCTTCAGTTGAAATGCTTGCAGAGACTCTAGGATTTGCAGATAACAGGTCTGTTAGGGTCATGTTTGCAATCAAGGGAGGGGCAAGAGATTTGAATTTGTTACCATGTTACCATACGCTTGGAAGACTGGCATTCTAAACCCCTGCACTTTTCCAGTCTCCAAAATTCTTTTTTTCCTCTAACAATCTTGTTCAGAGGAAGAGATTCTGTAGAATATTTTTCCAGTAACTTATTAAGAGGAGCAAAGAAAGACTGCCATTGGAAAGAAAGTTCCTACCATACAACTTGAGACCTCTTCCTTTTAGCCACTTGAACAAAAGGTGTGTCTTTGTTAGTGACATCCACTTATTTTTTTTTCAATCCTTAGTCTTTACTTAAGGCAAAATAAAAATAAACTCAGAAGATTTTCATTCTTTTGAGTAGAAGTAAACCACTGAATTGGTCAATTTAGGTTGGAATCTGTATTTGTCTTTTTAGTCCTGGATCTCTTTGTGGGGCCACACCTAGTAGTTCTCAGGATCTACTTCTTGCTTCATGCCCAGAAGTGACCCTTGGTAGTTCTAGAGGGAACTGTATGTCATATGGATTTTACTGGGTTTGCCACATGTAAAGCAGGAGCACTCTCTGGTGGCCCTAGGCGTTGGAATTTCAAGAATTTGCCTTTAAGGCTGGTTTCTATCAAGGTATTCTTTTGACTTAAAGGTTTTGCTCTAAGTAAAAATGATAGAAATTAATATGGATAGTTTGCCAATATTTAATGTAGGCTGAATGTACTGAATGGTTCATATACTTACTGTACTAATTAGTATTGTGATTAGTTGACATTTGGTTTAAGTACAGGAGAGTACATCTGATGCATGTGAGGACCACACTTAACCAGGCAGTTAAGACTTCCTGGATTTTGCTACTGTCTTATTATCTCAGTATTCATACTCTGCCTTAGTCTTACACTCAGTAATGTTTAGCATGTTTCCTAAGCCCATGTGCTGTATTCCTTGTCAGAACTGTGCCTTTAATTTACCTGTCAGTGAAAGCTCTTATAGAACCTTTCCTGCCTCAATCCTAATCTTTTAAAGTAGTGGTTCTCTGCAGAGGAATGAATGAAATATGTTTGCTACTGACTGCCTTTCTATTCACTCACTCCCAATCACTATTTGGCAATGACTGCAGTCGGACTCATTTTATAATTGCCCAGTCTAGGGTACTAGTACTGCTGATGGTATGAAATCATGAAGTGAATTGAGACCACTGAAATTCTTAATGGTGCCAAGACATACCCCAATAACAAAGAAGTGTTTGGTCCAAACTGTCAGTGGTGCATGGACATTATATCATAATTTTTCTAAAGTATTGGGAAGACAGGTGGAGGTTGGGGATAGATTTTTTTTTTATTAAGCTTAAGTTTGAATCAGTAATGTAGTCTCTATAGACTACAGTTCTAGTTCTCCTTGTATAGATCTGAAAGTAATCCATTCTGCAGCACCCTTTCCAGAATGAGAAATAAATGCTATTTATAAGATTAGAGTAATTTTTCTCATATCTTAGTCATTAAGCTTGGATAATTCCATCAATGGGGCAGTACAGTGGGTAGGACACTTGGCTTGCACATGACCGTCCTGGTTCAGTCTCCTAAGCACCACCAGGAGTAAGCTCTGGGCAATGCTGCGTGTGACCCAAACCCCCACGAAAATGACAGTTTAATAACAGCTAAGTGGGTAAGTACTAAAATATACCACTAATACAATACAAAGTATTTCTATTACTCCAATTTAAGAAGTGTGGCCGTGTGGAACTTATTTTCCATTAATAAGTAAATGTGTTCTCTCTTTTTTTGTAGATAGTAAAGAAGAAAGCTCCCCTCTTTCAGTCACCATGAAGTGTGGTTTTAACTGTAAACATGTTCATTCTGGACTTAAACTGGTAAAATCTGATGATGGTGGAAAACTGGTTTCCTGCAGTCCTTCGTCTTTGGAAGGTTCCAATAAGGAATGCATTAAAGACTGCAAAAGGTTATCTGATATTGTATCACCAATTGTGAGGAATTCCAGAACTATAGAACCTGAAACTGAAAACAAATTCCTGTATAACAAGGAAAATGAACATGTGCAACAAATATTTAATAGTTCAAATGTAGTAGAACTGGAAACTAGTGGAACCTATGAAGACAGTGGCTATTCTTCATTTTCCCAGCAAAGTGACCTCAGTGAACATGATGAAGGTACCTTGCCCCTGGAGGAAAATTTCACTGAAAGTCCACAATCTTGTCTACTACATACCCAAAGCCCTGACCAATATCCCAACAAAAATTTGCTGCCAGCTCTTCATTTTGCAAAAGTAGTTTGTTCAACATTAAAGAAGAATGCCAAAAGAAATTCCAAAATAGACCGAGAGAAGATGAAGGAACTTATATCCTGTGGAAATAATAGACTACAGAATATAATTGGTCGGAAAATGGGCCTAGACTGTGTAGATATTCTCAGTGAACTCTTCCGCAGGGGACTTCGACATCTCTTAAAATATGTTTTAACCCAGCTCAATGATATGGACTTAATCAAGTAAGTATTGCTACTTGAAATGTTTCAGTGTGGTCTTAATCATTTTTTGTTAAATACCTCAGCACCACCAACTGATGCAAAAATAGTAGGTTGCATTGAGGTATTCATTGTTGCCTTTTCGTTGAAGAATTTTGCCATTTGTGCCACTGAGATAAAGATAAGCTTGGGGGCACACCTTTGGTGGACGGGAATCAGAGAAACAGGGCCCAGGGCTGGTTGGTAGTCTGTTTATTTATTTACTTCTTCCCAATTTACTCCTATCTCTCCCTTAGAGCACAATCCAGCACAATTGTAGTCATAGTTTGGATTGTAGCCCCAGTAATCATAGTTCCACCATCCTGGTCTCCTCAGACCTCAAAGTCCTCTACTCCTCTTACCCTAGCAGCATAATTATATAGAAATCTGAATTGTGGGTGTACACATAGGTGGGATTGAACATTGTCATAACAGCAGAGGTGAAGCCATTCCTTCAGGGGAAGTTTTAGGGGATTAACTCAAAGACAAAAACACATTTGAGGGAGGGTTCAGCACTCCAGATTACTAGGAGATTGCTCAAGGGCCAGATTCCATCCAGGATCTATTGCTTTATCCTTTCCTCAGCTAGTAATCCATTTAAACAATCATAGTAAGTTTACGATATTCCTAGTCATTTTGTATGGACATAGTAAGAGATATTAAAATTAAAGGTTGGCTCTTCCTGGGGACATAGAGAGATCAATCGATCTCGCTATATATTCCAGACTACAGTCTCAGGCCAGGTTAGTTTTTCCTAAGCCCAGCACGTTCCTTATTCAGTTACTTCTTTTTGGGTCCTCATGACAGAGTTTGTTCCATGACCATGCTCTTATTATATTATGGTGCTTAGTTTATCTCCCTTCGATGCCAGGGTAGTTTACAGCTTGCCCTGGGTCCATCCATTCCCTTTGTTGGGACCCTGCTTTGGGAGTGCTAGGAACTTTGGGCCACTGAGGCTTAAGTCAAGTAAATATGGATGCCCAGGAGTAAATATTTATTTCAAACTTCACATTTAAGCTATCATTTTTACATTTGTTGTAAGAGAGCCGATTTTCTAGTGTACAAGTCTAGTGGGTATTGTGACTTGTAAAATGTTAATGTCTAAAGTGATTTCTTTTTTAAGCCTTTTACCAATGTGACAGCTACCTATCCTTGACAGTGATGAAAATATAGAGACTGGTAATGGGTTTCATTATGACCTTTTCTTGTCCCTCTTACCTAATTCCCTTTGTTCCAACAATGAAATTCAGGATGAGCTAAAAATACAATTTTGCTGAGTATGGGTTGATTCAGTTGGATGTCATTTTTGGCTTTCTTAAAACTTAAGGCAGTTTTTGTAAAAGGCATTCATTGTATTTATAAAATAAGTATGAGTTTTTATTGGTTAACTAAAGTTACTAATGGTAATTTACATAACAGGTTTTCCACTTTATATAATGAATTCTAAAAATGAAATTGGTTTTTACTGATAGCAGTGTCTCCAGATGTACTTGAGGATTCTGAAATAAAGAACCCCAAGCCTCTATTTCAGACCAGCTTAATTCCAAGAAGTATTTCAAAAGTACAGAACAATTTTTGCACTGTTTCTTTTGTATGTTCCTCTTAACTTTTTGTAAATTTTAATTTATAATTTACTTTCCAGTGTATCTAAAGTGAGCACAACTTGGAAGAAGATTCTAGAAGATGATAAGGCAGTGTTGCAGTTGTATAATAAAGCAGTACAAAGAGTTGCTGTAAGTCTTTGCCATTGATGTTTTCTAGTACATAGAACTAGAAAGAACTGATTCTGGAGGCCCCAGGCCTAAGCACCTTCACATTGAGCCATCCAGCTCAGTTGGCAGAGCGTCCCTTCGTATCCGTCATTTATTTCTTGGTGTTCCCCTAAAAATGGAATGTTCAGAAAGTATAAAAGGGAAAATTACTACTTTGGGGGATTGACCATCTATTTGTAGCCATTTATATGTACTTTTTCAGTTATCAGATAAATAGTAAATTCCCAACATGCTGGAGAGTAATCTTTATGTCGGGCTGGAGCGATAGTACAGCGGTTAGGGCATTTGCCTTGCACGCAGCGGAGCCGGGCAACCCAGGTTCAATTCATCCACCCTTCTCGGAAAGCCCGGCAAGCTACCGAGAGTATCTCGCCCACACTACAAAACCTGGCAAGCTCCCTGTGGCATATTCGATATGCCAAACACAGTAACAAGTCACACAATGGAGATGTTACTGGGCCCGCTTGAGCAAATCAATGAACAATGGGAGGACAGTGACAGTAGATGAATTTACTCTTCAATGTTTCTGAAAAAAATCAAAATCTATATAATTTTAGATATAAGAAAAAAAATCTGTTCATACCTAAGTTGGACATACTAAGTCCATTTTTATATTACTGCTTAAATTTACAGAAATAATGCTTATATTCTCTAACTTCATTTTCTTTATTAATAAACTGATATTTACAGAAACTTCTAATCTGAAAGGTGGTTTTGAGTATATTCATGGCTTTATGGCAGTTAACATTGTCTGTTACCACCTACTGGTGGTAGGAAGACTGAGTTTTTACATGTGTGAAATACTCTGTAGACTAAACTTGTCAACTTGTGACTTCCTAAAATTTTTGGTTTTCATTTTTTTAAGACTTACTAGGTTTTAAATGGCTGGGTGTGATTTTTTAAGGCATGTGTAGATAAATGACACGTAGAAATCCTTTACATTATACTTTTTTCACATGTATAAATAATCAAAATGCCTGATTGCAAAGGAAAGTATTTTGGTCCTATTAAAATTGTATAAAATTGTATATTTTAATTAGGAGAAGAAGATTAAATTTTCATCACAAGCCTTCACAAGAGAGTATACTGTGATCAGAGCTGCGTTAGCTTCTGTTCAAAAATCAGCTGTCCAGATTCCACAAAAAGATTCTGGAACCAAGTTATCCAATTCAGTTGGTCAGAAAAGTTCTACTTACAGTCGACACAATGAATTCTCTGAGGTAATTTTTAATCAATAAATTTGAAACATGGGACATTTGTTGTTAAAGTGGTTGGGGGTATGATATAGGGAATTCGGTTGGTATAATTGGAACTATAATTTGAACTGTTGTTGGTGGTAACTTTCTGTCCCCATTTTTTTTCTCAGAAATAATGGAAACTAAGAAACAATTCACCCATCATAGGGGCTAAAGTAATAGTATAAATGTATAGACACTTTGGTTGCACGCAGCCAACCCAGGTTCAATCCTGAGCACCCTGTGCCCACCTGTAATAAGACCTGAGTACTGCTGGATGTGGCCCAAAAACAAACCAAAAAACCACCACCACCACCCCCACCCTAATTAGGCAAATACTAATAGGTGTCCTTTAGTGTTGGAAATAATAAATAACATTTGACATTGTTCATGGAGCGATAGCACAGCAGGTAGGGCGTTCGCCTTACACGCGGCCAACATGGCCAACCCGAGTTCGATTCCTCCGCCCCTCTCGGAGAGCCCGGCAAGCTACCGAGAGTATTCGATATGCCAGACACAGTAACAACAAAGTCTCCAATGGAGACATTACTGGGCCCGCTCCAGCAAATTGACGATGGAAACACAGTAGATGCAATTTTTAAAACCCTGTTGGTTTTGCAATGGAGATAGAATAATGTTGTGGGTAAGATGCCTGGCTTGTATGCATCGGATTATGGTTTAATTCCTGGCGCCCCATAAGGTCCCTGAGCACAGCCAGGTGTGGCCTAACAACCCCTCTCTCCCCAAAAATTAAAAAAAAAAAAAAAACCTTGTTAACTGTTTAAAAATGCAGTTTTATGATCCGGGGGTTGCATCTGATACTGTTTAGGGACTAATGCAGGCTAAATGCCTGCCCAGGATCTTAGAGGTGGAGACTGGGGGACCTGAGTTTCCCATGTCCAAAGCATGTGCTTTCATTCCTTAGAGCAGTTTCCCTGGTCTAAAACTGTATTTTTGTAGGTATTTATCTACTATTATGTACTTAATAGAAAAAAAAAGAACAATTTCAGTTATAGTTGTAGGATGGAAGGTGATTGCATGAAACCAAAATATAAGAGTAAATGACGTCTAAGTGGTACTAGGAAGACTTCACAGAAAAATAATTTTAGATATAAGAAAAAATTTGATACTTAGGTATTGCTAGGTAATAACAAGAATTTGATACTTAGGTATTGCTAGGTAATAACATTCATGAAGTAAAAGTAGTATTTCCTGCTACAAGTCACTTGCCTTTGACTTAAGTTCCTTGGGTGTAGAAGTTATCTCGTATGTGACTTTACAGTTTTCTTATAGGTGATGGGAAAGGCTTAAAAATGTTACATTTTTAAACTACATTCTTCCCATACTGTAACCTGTTTATGGTTTTCCTTCTAGGTTGCCAAGACTTTGAAAAAGACTGAAAGCCTTAAAGCCTGTGTTCGCTGTCATGCACCTGCAAAATATGATTGCTATTTACAACGAGCAACCTGCAAGCGAGAAGGCTGTGGATTTGATTATTGTACAAGGTGTTTGTGTGATTATCATACCGCCAAAGACTGTTCAAATAGCAAACCTCTAAAAGCCAGTTACAAAATGGGTCCTCTGCCTGGTACTAAAATAAGCAAGAAGAATTTAAGACGATTGTGACCTCCTATTAAGTTTTATCTGATCATGAAGATTAGTTCAAAAATGTTAGATTTTAATTTTTAAAACATTAAAATGTGATCTTCAGCTATGTTGAAGTCAATCTAAAACATGGGATTATTTTTCCTAAGTATTTTTCAGTATACTGAAAAGGTTAAAAATTCTCAAACCAAATTTAATATTTAAAGAAGGGGAAAACTAGTTATTTGATATATTTGTGATTAAGAGGGAAAAGTAAAACTAATTAAACTTTATGATAAAAAGAATGCCATATAATTTTATCTAGATGTTCTTAAATATAAACTTTATTCCCCATTTGAGGTCTATTTGCCATTCCAACTGAATATCAAGTTATGGATGTTAAATGTCTGTCACATAATTTTCAGTGTTTGTATGATTTCCTTTATAAAAACCCTTTGTGAAAGCTTGTTTTGCTTATCTGTGAAACTTTTTAATGTTATCTATGTGTGTAAATATTTTTGTATTTTTTTATGTCAAAGTGTGTGTCTTTTATATGTGGGCATAATAAAAGTGAATTTTCATTTTGTTTTGAATAAAATGTATTATAAACTTAAATAATGTGAACCTTTTATTTTTTAAAATATTTGATTACATTTCATATTCAAACACCAATCTCACTACCATATTTCAGATGTTTCCATCCTGAACCCCAACCCTGGCCCCAAAGCTGAACCAAAACAATTTCTTTTGTATTGTTTGTTATGAAATATCGCTGAAAATGCTCCCAAAAAGTTTCCTTAGAGGAAAGAGTGAAGATTGTTGTAGTTCACCCAGGGGCCATTAAGCCCTTCTATATCACTAACATGTTAAAGCTTGAGACTTGCGTGCTTAAATATATACATATTTGTATCTGCAAAACAGTATTTCTCTCTAAGATTCATTGCCTACTACTTTATTTTTTAAATTTTATTTAATTTTTATTAGTGAAACACCATGAGGTTTTTGTGCTTGGGTTTCAATTATATTTGATCATCGCCTGCTACTTTAAACCCATCAAATGTGTTGCATTACTCTTGGAATATGAGTAATGTGAGGTATGAGTTGTCGCGGGGTTCAGAAGTTCACTTCTGGGTGAGGCTATGCCCAAGTGTGTGGAAAGCAGCCTTGAGAATAGCAGCAGTTCTGGAGGTTTTCAGCAGCAGTTCCTTGAGGCAGGGAAGAGTCTCACCCACCGCCCTCTAGGGCACCCCAAATGAAACAGCCTTGAGGTCTGATGGCATAGTTACATCGAGTGTCCTATTACGCTCCCTTCCAGGAGAGCAACGTGACTTTATATGTAAAAGATGTCTGTTGTCTGCTGGATAGGTGAAACTCCACTAACCCACTCCAATGTCTTAGTTAAGGAATTGGTTCCTTAACTAAGCATCTCAAGATTATTAAATAAAAGTCCCCTTAAACTAAGAACTGCTATTGTGTCAGATCATAACAGTATTAAACCTTGTGATAAATTAAGGCCATTCTCCAAATTAGAAAAATAGTGAAATGTTGTCTCTGACTATATTTTACAGTAATAATAACTAATTTCTATTATTTATTTTATTCTAAACTTGAATGTTTTATTCATGGAAAATTGAGGCTATTCTAATGATTTTTAAATTTTTTGCGTAGCACAGTGGTAGGATGTTTGCTTTGCACGCAGCCAACATGGCCAACCGGAGTTCGATTCCTCCGCCCCTCTCGGAGAGCCAGGCAAGCTACCGAGAGTATCTCGCCCGCACGGCAGAGCCTGGCAAGCCACCCATGATGTATTTGATATGCCAAACACAGTAACAACAAAATCTCCAATGGAGACGTTACTGGGCCTGTTCCAGCAAATCGATGAATAACGGGAGGGCCTTTACCTTTACCTTTACCTTTTAAATTTTTTGATTGAATACCCATGAAATAGACCATTTACAAAGCTGTTGTTGAATGAGTTTCAGTCATACAATGGTCCAAAACCTACCCATCTAATCTTAGAGGGAAGGCTCTCAGTTTTTCCCCACTGAGGATGATGCTTGCTGTAGGCTTGTGATAGATGGCTTTAACTATATTGAGGAAAGTCCCCTCTATACCCATTTTGGCGAGGGTTTTCATCATAAACAGGTGCTGGATCTTTTCAAATGCTTTCTCTGCATCTATTGATAGGATCGTGTGATTTTTATCTTTTGTTGGTTGATATGATGGATTATGCTGATTGATTTCCGAATGTTAAACCATCCTTGTATCCCCGGGATGAATCCCATTTGGTCATGGTTTATGATCTTTTTGATGAGTTGTTGAATTCTATTTGCTAGTATTTTGTTGAGAATCTTCGCATCCATGTTCATCAGGTATATCGGCAAGGATTTCTTGTGGTGCCTTTGTTTCCTTTTGATATTAGATAGATATGGGCTTCATAGAAACTGTTTGGGAGAGTTTCTGTTTCTTCAGTTTCCTGGAAAAACTTGAGAACTGACAATAGGTCCTCTTAAATGTTTGGAAAAATTCGCTAGTGAATCCATCTGGTCCTGGGCTTTTGTTTTTGGGAAGACTTTTGATTACAGTTTCAATTTCCTTGATATTAATAGGTCGATTCAGTCACTCTAGATCTTCTTGATTCAGCCTTGGGAGATTATAGGAATCCAGGAATTTATCCATTTCTTCTAGGTTCTCTTGTTTTGTGGCATAGAGACTTTCAAAGTAGTCTCTGATGATCTTTTGAATTTCTTTGGTTTCTGTTGTGATATCCCCCTTCTCATTTTTGATTCGATTTATTAGGGTTCTATCTCTTTGTGAATCCGCAAAGGATTCAGCACCATCGACCACATCCACACGATAACCAAGCTCATTGAGGTTTCTCAGGAGTTCAAGATGCCGCTCTGTTTAACGTTCAGTGATTTAAAGAAGGCCTTTGATTCTGTTGAGACGGAAGCGGTCATTGAAGCCCTAGCCAATCAGGGCATTCAAGCCCAATACATCAGGATCCTCCATGAGCTGTATTGTGGATTCACTACCAGGATCTCACCATTCTACAAAGAAGTGATCGTTGATGTCAAAAGAGGGGTGCGGCAGGGTGATACCATTTCAACAAAACTCTTCAGTGCCACCCTCGAGAACATCATGCGACGACTGGAATGGGAAGGAATGGGAGTGAAGATAGATGGTCGGCAACTACACCACCTCCGCTTTGCTGATGACATTGTTTTAATAACACCAAACGTCAGCCAAGCGGCACAAATGCTGGCCGACTTTGACCGTGAGTGTGGAAAGGTAGGACTATAGCTGAATCTTACGAAGACAATGTTTATGAGAAACAGCCTTGTTCCTGACGCCCCATTCACTCTCAACGGAACGACCATCTCCGAATGCAACAGCTATGTGTACCTAGGTCGAGAGGTCAACATGAAAAATGACCTGGCACCCGAGCTGCGCAGGAGGAAGAGAGATGCTTGGAACGCCTTCAAGAACGTCGAAGAAATAGCTAAGAGGACGAAGAACCTCCGGCTCCGGGCACATCTCTTTGATTCCACTGTTCTTTCTGCATTAACATATGCCTCAGAGACCTGGGCCCTACGCAAACAAGATGAGAACGCTATTCAGGTCTCCCAAAGAAGAATAGAAAGAGCTATGCTTGGAATATCACGTTTCACTCAAATGAGAGAGAGAATCCGGAGTTCTGACATCCGTCGACGATCAAGAATCAGGGACGCTGTCTCATATGCCAAGGTGTCGAAAATCAGATGGGCTGGTCACGTAATAAGATATAAAGACGACCGCTGGACTAGAGCTGTTACCGACTGGATTCCACGGGATGTCAAAAGACCGCGTGGCCGCCCACCTTCCAGATGGTCCGACTTCTTCGTCAAGATCATGAACGATCGGTTTGAGGCCCTTCATGTTCCCGGAGCGAACAGATGCCATTGGGCTACACTAGCACACGACAGGGACAAATGGAGATGTTACTGGCGCCCGCTCGAGCAAATCAACTCTATCTTATTTATTTTCTCAAAGAACCAGCTCTTGGTTTCATTGATCTTTCGGATTGTACTTTTGGTTTCCATGTCATTGATTTCTGCTCTAAGTTTTATGATCTCTTTTCTTCTGCCTGATTTGGGCTCCTTTGTTGATTCTTTTCTAAGATCTTGAGCTGTGAGGTCAAGTTGTTTATGTGGGTCCTTTCTTCCTTCGTGAGAAATGCCTGCAGAGCTATAAATTTTCCCCTTAACATGGTTTTCACTGCATCCCATAGGTTCTGGTAGTTCTTGTCTTCATTCTTATTTGCTTCCAGGTATCTTTTGATTTCATCCTTGACTTCCTTCCTGATCCACTTGTTGTTCAACATTGAGTTGTTTAATTTCCAGGTGTTTGATTTGATTCTTCGTGTCTGTGTGTGATTCACTTCTATTCTCAGTGCATCGTGGTCTGAAAAGATTGTTGATACTCTTTCTATCTTCCTGATTCTATTGAGGTATGATTAGTGTCCTAGCACATGGTCTATTTTGTAGAATGTTCCGTGTGCACTGAAAAGAATGTGTATTCTTTCTTTTGGGGGTGTAAAGGTCCATGAGCCCTTTTCTATTTCTTCTTTCAAAGCCAATGTTTCCTTGCTGAGTTTTGTTCTTGTTGATCTATCTAGAGGTGATAAGGCGATGTTGAAGTCTCTGGCTACTATTGTGTTGCTAGCAATGGTCTCCTTAAAATCGGTTAGCAGTTGTTTTAAGTATTTAGGTGTTCCCTTATTAGGTGCGTATACATTTAAGAGAGTGATTTCTTCCAGTTGTACATATCCCTTAAAGAATAGAAAATAGCATTCACTGTCCCTTCTAACCTTTTTCAAACTGAAATTGATATTGTCGGATACTAGTATGGCCACCCCAGGTTTTTTGAAGGAGCTGTTTGCTTGCAGGATTGTTTTCCATTCTTTAACTTTGAGTCTATGTTTGCTCTGACTGTTGAGATGAGCTTCTTGTAGGCAGCAGAATGTTGGGTTCTGTCTCTGAATCCATTTTGCCATCCTATCTCTTAATTGTTGAATTTAGACCATTGACGTTGAGAGAGATTATTGTTATGGGGTTTTGTGTCATCTTTCTGTAAGGGTCTGATGTGCTTGTTGGATTTGTCTTGTCTTATAGTAGCCCCTTTAGCCCTTCTTTTAGGTTCCCTCTAAGATCAGGGACGAGACAAGGTGGCTCACTCTCTTCACTACTGTTCAATATAGTACAGGAAGTACTTGCAATAGCGATTTGGCAAGAAAAAGATATTAAGGGCATCCAGGTAGGAAAGGAAGAAATAAAGCTCTCACTATTCGCAGATGATGTGATACTATACTTAGAGAACCCTTAAACCTCTACCAAGAAACTCCTAGAAACAATAGACTTGTATAGTAAAGTTGCAGGCTATGAAATCAATGCCCAAAGTCCATGGCTCTCCTATACGCAAAT